TTTTGTTCCTGATTTACAGCATCCGCAATTCTTTTGGTTTTTATTCATATTTGAAGGTGATTGAGATCAAGTACCTGTTTGGAAATATTTTGTATGGAATATTATACAGTTGTAATTAGAATTCTAGGCCACAACATTGAATGTTTTCAAGAAGGAGTTAGATATAGTTGTTAGGGCTGAAGAGGAGAAAATGGGAACAGAGTGCTGAGTTGGATGATCAGCTGTGATCATGCAGGCTCGAATGCTGAATGGCCTACTCCTGCTCCTATACTCTGTTATGAATAGAAAATTTTAACCAGTAAAAAAATTCTGTATTTTTGGCTTTTTATTGTCAGGTGTGAATGTGTGATTGTGAATTTTGTCTATGTCTGTATTTGAATATTTGTATGTGTGTAATGATTCTCAAACTGCACTTTCTCACACAAAGTTTTGTTTTATCAAACTGTTTTTAACTAGAGTGCAATATACAAAGGGGATTACCATCCTGCACATCCTACTATAAAGATATTTTGGGAAGTATTCCACGAGTTTCCTTTGGAAAAGAAGAAGTTGTTTCTGCGTAAGTGTGTCTATTTTTGTGTGGATGTTACCTTGTTGATTGTTGATGGTCCCACGAGCAAATGAACATTTTGGCTGGGGAGAGATAAGGACTCTGGGATTTTCGCCCCACCCTGTAATGAGGTGTGCTCAGCCAGCTGGCTTGTTTTATATCTCATATGAGTTGGGGGTCACTGCAGCCTTCGATCTGGCCATGGGTTTTGGGTCCTCCTAGTGAGACACAGAGGCGCGGTTTGGGTCATTGAACTTTCAGCAAGTGATCTTTTTGTTTCCAATTTGAAGAGCATTTTATTCTTATCCATTGGCTGTACATGACTGAGCTCTCTGCTCCCTCAGTACATTCTTTAGAAGGGTTTAATCAACAGGATCATCGTGTACCTGCCTTTCCTCTTCAGACACCAACCAGCAGATCTTCAAGACAGACCATATGGTGATTTGCATTGCTTCAACACCTCATTGAACCCATTGCAGAGGCTCTGATCATGCTGGTTCTGGTCACGCTCCAGGAATGGCCTTATTTCAAACTGGCATGGCAGTTCTGCTGATGCTTTGACTGGACCAGAGGGGCTGCCAGTAAAAGTTTCTCTGATAGAGGTGGATGACCTTTTCAGAGATAACCTGGAAGGTTAACTCTTTCCTCAGATGTTGTCAACCTTGTTGAGTTTCCAGCACTAAGTTACAATTCTTAATCCTGCTGCCTCATGCAATTCTGAAGCATTGTCTAAGCATTTGCTTAATCTTTTCTGTCTGTTTTCAAACTTAGTCATAGAGATATACAGCACGAAAACAGACCCTTCGGTCCAGCTCGTCCATGCCAACCAGATATCCCATATCAATCTAAGTCCCATTTGCCAGCATTTGGCCCATATCCCTCTAAACCCTTCCTATTCATATACCCATCCAGATGCTTTTTAAATGTTGTAAATATACCAGCCTCCACCACTTCCTCTGGCCGTTAATTCCATACATGCACTACCCTCTCTGTGAAAAAGTTGCCCCTTAGGTCCCATTTATATCTGTCTCCTCTCACCTTAAACCTATGTCCTCTAGCTTTGGACTCCCACAACCAGGGGAAAAGACCTTCCCTATTCACACTATCCACGCCGGTCATTATTTTATGAACCTCTGTAAGGTTACCCCTCAGCCTCCAACACTCTAGGGAAAATAGCCCCAGCCTATTCAGCCCCTCCCTATAGCTCAAACCCTCCAACCCTGGCAACATCCTTGTAAATCTAAAGTTTCACAACATCCTCCCTATAGGAGGGAGGCCAGAATTGCACTCAATAAACTTGGTGCCACTGTGACCCTCAAGTTAAATTAAACAGCTTCTTGATTTAATTTCTAAGAATGGAAAAGCCAGGATCTGCTTATACACCCAGAGTCTGCTCTTCAGCCCCAGTTCTGGAACCAGAACACACATGAATGGGGTACTCGATAAAATGTAGCGCTGGAGGAGCACAGCAGGTCAGACAGCATCTGAGGAGCAGGAAAGTCGACATTTCCAGTCTGGACCCTTCATCGGGACTGGGGAATGGGAAGGGAGCTCAGAAATAAATAGAGGGAGTGGGCTGTGGCTGGGGGATGCTGATTTTCTGAGCTCCCTTCCCCCACCCACAAGTCCTGATGAAGGGTCCAGACCCGAAACATTATCTTTCCTGCTCCTCTGATGCTGCCTGGCCTGCTGTGCTCCTCCAGCGCCGCATTTTAGCAACTCTGACTTCCAGCATGTGCAGTCCTTTCTATCTCCTAGTCGCTGAATGGGGTACTCACCTCCATCCTGTGCCTCCTTTCTCTCTTGCAGTGTTTTTGACTGGAAGTGACCGCATTCCTATTTATGGGATGGCAAGCATTCGGATGACCATTCAGCCCACTGCTGGAGGGGAGAGCTACCTGCCTGTGGCTCATACCTGTTACAACCTGTTAGATCTCCCCAGGTACTCCAATAAACTGATGCTGAGCACCAAACTCACTCAGGCTATTAGTCACCATGAAGGCTTCAGCTTGGTATGAAATGAACCCTTTCACTCTTGTCCTAGATAGGGCATTTATCGATTTTAATAAGCACTTTATTATTATTATTATTATTATTATTATTATTATTATTATTATTACTATTATTATTATGAGATTATTTTACAAAATACGGTCTCATTCCTTCTTGTCCTGAAAGATTATTTTACACAATAATCCGAGAGATGATCCTTTTGGCGATGATTCCAAACTGTCAGGTACATTTTTAAGAGTCAACTGCTTTTGCTGCAGCTGCATTATTTTTTAAAGCATTAAGTTTTTTTTATTGGAACGGTAATGAGTTTTTAATTGGCGTTACGTTAAAAGGGGGATTGATTGGCCCTGGCGGGGATACTTTTATTTTTTCCTGAGTTTCAGTGATGACTCCTGCTGGATAGAACCTTTTGAAATGTATGTGACTGAAGCATGGCATTGCTTAGCAGAGAAGGAACTTGTGCTTATTGCAAACTTAAATGGAAGACGGGGAATGCCATTTGCCAGTCACTGAGTATATTCAAGGTGCGTTTAGACAGGTTTCGATGGGTGAGCGAGTCAAGAGTTATTGCGTGTTTGTGTGTGTGTGTGTATTTGTGTGTGGGACCTGTTCCACTCGTACCTCCTCCCCCTCTGCCAGCAACGTAAGGAAAATACTGTTTTCTAGCTCCTCGCAATTCTGGAGGAGTCATTCTGGATTCGAAATTTTAACTCTCTCTATCTCTCACTCTGCAGATGCTGCCAGACCTGCTGAGTTTCTCCAGCACTCACTGTTTGCATTTTATGTTATTAGCCCTTAGTATGCTGGAGATAAGAAGCTTAATAACCCCGACCCCCATCTCGGACAAGATTCACCTTCACAACCAGGGGCACAGGCTAACGCTGTGGGGACGCAGGTTCAAATCCTGTCACGGCAGCTGGGGGATTTTAAGTTCATTTAGGTTCAGACAGAGCTGATCCCAGTAAGGGTGAGGATGACGACAATCAGCTAACATGGAGTGTTGTTCACAAATACCGTTTAGGGAAGGAAATCTGCCCTCCTCCCTCATATGCTCATCAGGTCTACTTGTGATGCTAGGGTAAGGAAATTGATTCTGAATTGCTGTCAGTTCAAGGGCTCTGGGCAGCATTTTGCCATGACTGAAAGAAGAAAAATCAGACCAGTCTGCAACCTTGTAGAATGGCAGAGTTGGTTTAAAGGACCCTACCCCTGCCCCTAATCCTTAGGACCACTTGTATGACCCTCCTCCCCATTACTGTTACCACCTGCCCCAGGTGCCACCTCTTTTGCTGAGTGTGCCCAATTCACTGAAAATGCATGGGCCAGGGCATCGACGTTTCTAAGTGTAACAAATGCAAAATCAGTCTCTGACAAAGATGCAAATTGGGTGCCGACGGGACCATCAGCTCTCCTTCCACACCATATTCGACGGTCAGCAGGGAAAGACAATCAGGCGGGATGCAGTAATGGGTGGTCGATTGGAGACCTCAACCCATGGACCAATTTCACACCCATCCTGAATGTGCTGCAGAGCCCCGTGTTGTTTTTATTATTCTGCCTGCAATCACGTGCAGTGTGGAACACTCAACTGCATAGGAGCCCAAAGAAGCGTTTTTAATGGTGAAAACTAGGCATAATCACAATACAATAATCCATGTAAAAACAAAGTGGCTACCACCTAGTAAATGCTTTAAGAATGAGCAATGAACTCTTCTGTCAGAAGGCGGTGGAGGTGGGAAGGAGGGGTCATCGTATGTTTTTATGGTGCAAGTAGATTCTTGTTAGGTAAGGAATTGAGCGTTATCGGGTAGATGGGAATGTCAAATTTGGGACAAAAAGATCATTGGTAATCTTATTGAATGGTGGAGCAGGCTCAAATGGTTTGCCTCTGCTCCTGATTTGCAAGTTCTTTCAAAGGGGTCCATTGTAGGAGTCATTTTGGATGCGCAACAAATGCTAACGTTGCCAGCCATGCTCATGGGCAAGAATCTACTTTTTTAAGAAAAAAAGCAGTTGGTTTCAGGTGTGTCTTAATATTGTCTTAACGAAAGCTTTGTAAAATATTGTAACATGCTTGTACAAATCCCTCGTTTGACAGAACGTGAGCAGAATTGTGATCAATTTTGTCTTTTTATTTTGATGAGTTGAAAGGTTTTGTTTCCTTTCTTTTGATTTCTTATGTGAGAGAAACCTTCAGGTTAAATCCAGCTCTGTGTATGTTTCTTTTTGTAAAATGACGTTTTTGAACAGATAAATAAATAAATGAAGCCAAAAGCTGTGGTTGTTCCTCAAGTATTTTACCATCTGGAGAATTTTATGTGGGGTGCAAAGTTAGAGTGTACGTCAGAGAAACATTGCAGAGTGATCTGATCTGACATCATTCAATTAGACCATACAACATCGGAGCCGAAGTTAGCCATTCAGCCCATTGACTCTGCTGTGTATTCAGTAAGATCATGGCTGATTGACAATCCTCAATTCCATTTTCTTGCCTTTTCCCCCGGTTCCCAGTTTAAAGTTGTTCATATTGTACTCACTTGCATTTCTGTGTCTACATTCAGAATAGAAAATGACTCATAATTGTCATTGCAACCTCCTGCTCATGATGGCCCTCTGGCAGCTCCCAGTGGCCAGAGGCTGTAAATGCAACATGGTGTTGAGATACCTATCACATAATCATCACTACTGGAGGTGATCTGCAATGTTGGGGATGAAGATATCGATGGGTTAACAGGACAACTCCAGTTTGTGATGAGGAGGGAAATATTCATTGCTTTATTTTCTTTCCACTTTTTCCTGTACACCTCTGAAACTTGCGTAGTTAGGACCTATAAAAGAAAATAAGACTTTGAAATGTGGCCGCTGAGATGTATGAAATTCTAGAATGGCAGAGCAGACCCGATGGTCTAAATGGCCCACTTTCTGCTCTTCTGTCTTAAGGTCTAAGCATGTGCCAGTTTAGGGTGTGGGGAATGGAAAATAATACTAAATTTGTACAATAGGTGAAAAAAAATCCATGCAAATGGATAGATTATCTATTGGATTCTGACGGGACTGCACAGGTGAATTATCCTGAATTCTCAGCTGGCTTGCAGATCATTTGTTTTGCTGTAATATGTTCTTGATACACAAATGAAATGATGCAAGTACGTACAGCAAAAATATATTTTCTGTCATACAAAATACAATCACGTTCATGTACAAAAACGTACACATTCATATTTCTCTTTGTTTTGTAGTGTCCACATTCAGAGATAAATGTTAACACCAGCACAGTCTGCTTTTCTTATTTGTTGACATTTTGCTTTTCTTCCCGTAAACATTGATTTAACACCAAGGGCCCAGAGTTTACATGTTTTGCAAGTTGTATCCGGGCTCCTGTCCCACCCAAGAGTTGTAAGATATGCAACAAGGCACACAGATCATGCCCACATACTAACTCAAGTCAGACAGGTCAGTAGCTAGACCCTGGATGGAGCAACAGAAGCATGCAGAGGCTATCAAAATCACAGCGGCTAGAGACAGAGGCAATCATGGAATGAGGAAACTTGCAATTATATATATATTCAGTACAGTTTCAACACCAGTTGGCATTCCTGCATCACTTTGACTCGAGTGTGGTGTGTTTGGCGCAGGGTTGAATTCAATTACTGTGCAATAACTATTTTTGATTTCTTTTTCGTAGCAGGGACTAACTGGACCAAGGATTGGACACAATTTGGCTTTCCATTTTCAAAGCCAAGTATTCAGCGCCAGTTTATAATCTCCATTTCTTTGAAATTGCTGTCATAAGGAGTTATATTTGAAGCTGTATGTGTAAACGTCCTGTTGTAAATATACCTCAACAGCAATAGGGGCACTCTGCAGGAAGGGTACAAATACTATGATGAGTTTGTGTTGCTGGCTGCCAGTGAACATAGGTATTGGCTGACAGGAGGCACATCAAATGGAAGATTTTTAAACTGTTAAGACATTGGTAGTTGAAGCAGTTAACAACTAGACAAGGTGTGTATGTGTGTGTGCACAAGGGACCCACCAGCCTGTTCTATCAGTCAACTGAGCACTGATCAGTTTAAAGGACATCCATCTGCCCTTTTTCCCCCATTTTTCCTTGATACCCTTGCCAACCAATCTCTGTTTGAGAATTTCACTGGAACAACATTTTTATTTTTGAAGGAGGGATGGGAAATCAGTAGATTTCCACCACTCATTAGGAAATGTGTGCCATTTTCCTATCCTGTTAGTAACTGCTGGACATGTTGCAACTGGCTAAGGCAAAATCCATTCCATTGTAGAGAGGTTTTTTCCTCAGTGCAAAAGATTCAGAGGACCTCAAACAGAAGAATGGAGCTTTCTAGTCAAGGAAATTACAGAACCTTCACAATTCTGATTCTGTGAATGTGATTTTGAAATTCATACTTCAATTCAGCTGGTTCTTAGCCCTTTCTCAAGCTCCCTCACCATCTTGGCTTTTTTTTTTGACAGATAATTTCAAAAGGATGATTGCTATCTCTGGTCTTCCTTCTCCCTTATCAATTTTGAATCTTCAGGGTCCACCTTGGCTTAATGCACTTTTGCTCAAAAGGCCACTTTGACGAAAGGCCGAGCAAAGCATTTGCAGTTCTTTGTGCAAAACTGACTCCCGTCAACTTAGCTACAGCAATCTTTGGCTTAACTTTTTGCAGGTGGAGGAAAATGGAAGAGGGCCTTTTCAAAATCAAATTTGAAAACTTAAAAAATAGAGATCAAATGCACATTAACTCAGCAGCATTCATTTCACTGTCCCATCTCAGAATTCCCTCCCCATCTCACGCACAGAATTTCTGGTTTGATCAATGGAACTCAATGAAAGGCTATTACACACCCTCTAATCTTCCCAGGTTGTAAGTGCCTCTGTCAAGACTGCAGCACAGCCAGGAATGCGTTTGTCAATTTGGATGCTTTACAATGCAAAGAAATTGCTGAGGTAAACGCAATAGGAATTAATTTGGATTGAGATGTGTGAAAAATGGAATTCTACTTTGTTTGTGCACTCACGAGGTTTGGAGAAAAATTCAATTTTCCAAGTCAGTAGAAAATTAAGGCGCATAGGACATCTGCGCCCAATCTGAAGACCCTACCATTATATTTGTGAAAACAGCTAACATATTATTCTGAAATTTCAGCCACTATTTCCACAGTCACATAACTCACCACTAGCACAAGTGAGACAGCAACCTGCTGGGACCAGGAGCTTCAGACAGGTACAAAGATAGATGTGAATATTAATTACAGGTTTTAAGAGTTGTGCATGATCCCTCCTTCCACAACCCCAGACTGGGTTGTCCATTGTTAAAGTGAACCACGTTATTGAAATCACTGCTTTCTCAAATCATTCTCTGGTGGTGGCCCTTTACTGATGATAAAGCTTTTAAAATTGCTCCTGAATTCATGCTTTTCTGCACAGTTTGTATAGCAAAATGAGACTATACATCAAAGAAGCTATGGTTTTTCATAGCTGGCACAGAACTCTCGAGGGTTGCCACTAGATTCTTAATGAGCCCAGAGATTTAAAGGCAGCTACGCCCAGGAGGTAAAAGTCTAGTGGGGCTGGAGGATGAAAGTAATTGGACTGGGATACGTCAGTACAATTCAGTCCTTGTCTGCAGGTAATCAAATCTATCCTCACTTCTATATTTTTCATTAAAATTGCTGTGCAAACATTTATAATACAAACTGCCTTTACAAGTTTGCCATGCTACACGTGTACCATTATTTGGGGGAGCGGTGTTCTTAGCAACACACAGTTACATTGAGCATTACAAAAAAGGTAGGGAAATCGTACAAGAAGCTCATTTACACACATGCTGAAATGTGTCTCCTAGTTACTTAAAATATGTCACAGGCTGGGATACCCAAGTGGTAAGTGTACAGGAGTAGTTTTAGCACAAAAGGGACATAACTTTAGACAATAGGACCACACCTTGGGGATTTGGGCATGGGGCCGGTTTGGGAGGGGAAAACTAAGCAGGACATTCCTGAACCCAATCCTGTTGTGCAAAGGGCCACACTTTTGGAAAAACCTGATCTTGTAGCACTTGACCCACTTTTCCCAGAGTGCCCCATTGGACTTTAGAGCTCTTGGAGACTCCAGGAACCTAATACTCTCTTGACAGCTTTTCAGCAGCCCACGAGATACTGAACAGATGTTACTGAAGTGTTATAAAAGCTCGACCAATGTCACAGATGATAGGGAAGGGAAAAAAAGTACCACATTTTGCAGGTACGAAACTGTTCTCCAGTGAATGTAAAAACAGGACGGGCAAAGGTGTGAAATGCAAATTCCTGTACTCTGTTCAAAACCACAAGCGTAAGCAGTTGAACATAATTTGCAGACGATGTGCAAGTTTCTTTACTAGTGATCTAATAGAAAGTGATTACGGAAAATATCACCACAGCCTGTGGATGCAATGCAGTTTGTAAAGCCTTGGTCACTGGTATACATGCCGATTTGAGAAAATATACAGCAAAAAGGTGCCATATAAACAAAGACATATCATTTGAGAAGGAGGTGAGGCCCTTTTGCTTGGTAAAAACATTTACGCACCGTAGTAGGTCCTTTTGATGCACAACACTAAGAAGTGTTTGAAATATCTGACTTCCATGGAATTTTACCTTTTCACCAATAAAACATTACCACAGGGCTTACAGTCTCAAACAAAATAAAAGAACTGCCAAGCTCTAAATCCTATCAGGAAAAGCATGCCTTGTAAGGGTGAACACACCTGTCATGAAAAAGTACTTGCCAATAAGGCACTGCCACAACAATCCATTACCGATAGAAGGTGCTTGCAGGTGAGCTTTTCTCAAAGTGATTTCCAATTCCCAAACTAGTTGTACTATCCAGAAGAAGAGACTTTAATGTCATTGCTTCTTGTAATTTTTCAAGTGGCAATGATATGCTTCAGCTTAAAAAAAAACACCAGCTGCCTGTTTCATACTCTGTTCAATTTGCCTCAAAACTCCCACGAGAACAAGATATTTGTGCAACAGGCCAGGACTCTATGCCTATATATTGTATATTAAAAAAGTACTGACTCTACTGCATAATTTCTCTTCCCGGACCTGTCGTTCTACTTTGCATATCTACAAATGTACAAATCTAAAGAGCACAGAACACCAGTGCTTCTTTCTAAAAACTGGATGCACGCAGAAATCGTTGTTCAACATGCTAGTCATTAAATTGATTCTCATTTGTGAAATAATTACGAAAACATTCTACAAACCAAAAAAAAACACACAATTAATTTTCCCCTTTACTTGAGATTTGGAATATGTCGCCAATAATTTTGTTCCATTAAATTGTGTCGAGGGCTTTTTAGTTCCTGCAGCAGTGCAGAAGAGGGTGTGGAAAATCCCATCACTACATTTCAAAAGAAGAACAGGGAGGCTTTAAAGAACACCCAGTTTTCAGGGAACCAGCCTTTTGATTTTTCTGGTTGTTCTGTCCTCGTGTCTCATGCAGCCCAATCCTTGTACGGACTAGCCAGCTGACTGTACAGACTTGGACCTGAAGCTTATACTGTTCTGATCAGCAGAAGGACAACTCAATCTGGGATCATTCGAGACAAGTCTTCAAGAACGGCTGCTTACAAAATGCAAAATCCACTGTGGCTTCCTATGAGATCTCTTGCTCGAGAATGCTCCAGGATATCTGGATAAGGACGGGACCGAGACAGAAGAACAAAGGCGTCCGATCAGAACTTCTCTCTCTGCACAAATAAAAAGCACAGGAGACGTCAGGGTGGTATTCCTCTTGGTTGATGTCTTGCAGCACCGTTGGCGCCGGACGTCATCCTCGGAGAGGTGGCCGAGTTGTGGCAAGGCCAGTAAAAATCAAGCTGTGTTTTGGCGTTCACTGCCATCACGGTGAGGGGCCAATGCAACCTCCCTCCCCCGCACAGTGTCACTGCCGTGGGGCCATCCGCTAAATTAAAGAGGCAATGAAAATTGACACTGCTGAGGCTTTTCCGGATTCATACAACCTTTGATGGATCTTGCTTGCTTATGAGCACTTCCAGCAGCCTCAGCTTTGCCTTGATGTGTTTGTATTCACTGTATTCGTCAGCCATGGGTGCACGATCTTCCTTCTGAACAGTTCTGCGCAGAATAAAGAAACTGTGAATCACAACAGAAATGCAATATTTTCAATAAACATTCTTGTTCCCCTCCTCCTCCAACCCCCAAAAATAGAAAGAAAATTGCTACTTTGTGGTTTACTCACTGAAAGTAGCAAGAAAGGGCCTTGCATTAATGCAGCACTTTGCTATCCTTATGACTAGACTAATAATCCAGAGACCCCCTATAACGTTCTGGGGATCCAGTTTCGAATCCCGCCACGGCCCTTGGAGGAACTTGGATTCAATAAATTTTTTAAAATCTGGAATTAAGAGTCTACTGATGAGCAAGAAATCACCGTCAAAGTTGAAGAAACCCATCTGATTCCTGATGTCCTTTAGGGAAAGGGAACTGCCATCCTTACCTGGTCTGGCCTACAGGTGACTCCAGACCCACGGCAATGTGGTTGACTCTGAACTGCCCTTTGGGCAATTTGGGATAGGCAATAAATGCTGGGCTAGCCACTGACACCCACATTCCGTGAATGGACTGAAAGAAAAGTTAAGTCCCAAGTGGCTCATGTCAATTTATGAACAACACTCCCACTAGGGGGCATTGCCTGCAGCTGCTGAAACTGGAGTGAGAAATCCCCAGGGTTCACATGCCTGGAAATCATGGACGATCACCCTGGCAACTACTATTGTAAAGTTTCAAATGAGGAGCGGCATTTCTACTGAGAATTCTGCATGTTTGATCCAAGAAAGAGGAAAAGAACGACTCCTTTCAGATTAATTTAACGTTTGTTTAATGGCCATTAAACATCACTGCTAACAAGTTCCAATAAGAAAAAACAACCTTCCGTTTTCCTGAAAAAATGTGTCTTCAAAATCCCTCAGGCTTTTGCGAAGCCTCTTCTTGTCAGCTCGGGCTTCTTGCAGTTGTGCTAGAAGTTCTGGCCTACAAATGTTAGAACAAAAAGGTATGTCTTAAATTATTACATAGCATTGAAATATTAAAAGCACACTGAACATTTACTGCTCCCGAAAGTGATTTCAGACATCGGTGTTTTTGCCAAAGCCTTTCAGTACAACACTATCTTAACGATATTTGCAGAATCAGAGAATGCAACACATTTGGCTCATCCTGTTTGTGCTGATATCCAAGGAGTATCTCAACTGCTGGGACCTCCACCTCCCCAGTGCCCTGTACATGATTTCTTTTTGGATAATAATCCAATTGCCTCTTAAATACCTCACTTGAACCTGCCCCCACCACTCTCGTAGGTGGTATCCTAACCACTCGCTGCACAACTAAGTTTACCCTCATGTCTCTGTTGTTTCTTTCACCAATTACTTGCTAATTTTGAGTCCTCTTGTTCCTTAGCCTTCCACCAATGGGAAAGGTTTGGCCGTGTCTACTTTGTCCAGATCCTTCCCGATTTCTGAACACCTGAATCAAACCTCCTCTCGACCTCTTCCACAGGAAACAGCTCCAGTGTCATCAATTAATATTAAATTTCTACAGCCTCGGAATCATTCTCATGAATCTTTTCTATATCTCCCTCTTTTTTCTAACGTCTTCACATCTTTCCTAGAGTGCAGTACCCAGAACTATTCACAATCCACCAGTTGAGGCTGTACGAGTGTTTTGTACAGGTTTAATATATCCTCCTTGCTTCTGTACTCTATGCTCATATTGATAAAGCCTAGGATTCCATTTGCTTTGCTAACAGCTCCCTCCATCCAGATCAACAATTGTTCCCGTAAATGTTTCCTTTCCACATTTTTCCTATCAAAAATCACCTTTCTACACCATAGTACAAAATATAATCCTAAACTGATGTGGTTGTTTATAATTTTTTTTTCCCCAGGGGTGGTAAGGTGAATTTAATTTGGAATTTAAGAGTAACAATTATGGGTCCAAATTTCTATCTGTAACTTACAGCAACTTGCGTCCTTGTTTAAACGGGAGATTGAGAGGACTCTTGCCGAGGTTCAGGGTCATAGGTATCAAAGCTGGTTTTATGTGGGGTGTTGGCACAGCTGCAGTCGGCATTGAGCCCACTCTCCAGTGAGCAGGTGGCATGGGCAATAACAGACCTGGCGAGACAAGACTTGTGATCCTGAATGCAAAGGTCTCCATCACCATCCTGCACCACGTGAGGCTGGCATTAAAGCAGATGTAAACGCACTTGAAGCTCAGAGTGTGTTACTGGTGCAAATTCCACCTGGAAAGTAGCTGCACATGAATGGAATATCATGGGTCCGCTACATTTCCACCACTAATTCTAACGGATGTAAGATTGTGGATGCCGTGAATATAATTTCTTCCTAAATATAGTGTAATATTGGGCACCTTGACCCAGGGCTAGCCTCAGGTTTAGTGCCTTAAAACACACTGATCTAAAGCAGGTCTTGTAGAATCATAGAATCCATTCGGCCCATCGAGTCTGCACCAACCCTCTGAAGCACATTCCACCCCATCACTGTAACCCTGCAATTCCTGTGGCTAAGCCACCTAACTCACACATTCCTGGATAGCACGGACAATTTTTAGCATGGCCAATCCACCTAACCTGCACATCTTTGGACTGTGGGAGGAAACCGGAGCACCTGGAGGAAACCCACGCTGACAAAGTGCAAACTGCACGCAGACAGAGTCACCCACCTGAGGCTGGAATTGAACCTGGGCGCCATGACGCAGCAGCGCTAGCCCTTCTCTGGAGTCTGCAAGAATTGTTATCAATTGCAGATATCTGATAGCTCATCAACATGGGGAGAGATGGAAAAGAAAGAAAGAGGGAGGAAAAAAAAAGACACATACATATACAGGCAGAAAGGGGACAGACAGAGAGAGAGAGAGAGAGAGAGGCCGAGAGGTGGGGGGAATAGTGTGAGCATGACAGAGTGAGACACCTTATAATTCCACACAAAGAGAGCACAGGAAAAGCCCATTTAGCCTGTGTTTACATCATCCTATATCTTCATCCGACCTTCATCAAAATATCCTTCTTTTCTGTTTAGGTTCTTGTCTGGCTTCCTGCAAAAAGCAGTGATAACATTCGCTGTAACAACTGCCAGTGGGAGTGAGCTCCACACGCTCACTCAAGGAGTAACTGAGAGGTTAAAAAGAATGGCATCAATCTGGTTAATGGCAAAGCAGGCTGGAACTGGAAAGGAAAAGATAGTTTGATGGGATGAGACGAAACAAGAAGATATAAATACTGGCATTTAGTCAAATGGGCTCTGATCTGTGCTGTGACATTAACTATTTCCTCAAATATCACCGTCATGTTCAAGTGCTCTATCTGGCACAGTGTTTACTCGAAGAACAAGCCCCAACAGTCTTTCCTGCTCGTTATAACCTTTCAGCACTGGTATCACTCTCGTAAATCATTTCTTTTTAATTTTGGACCTTCTCCAGTGCTTCCCCACATGGTTGTTGTCGTGATTACAGAGCCCAGACTGATGACTCAGGAGCAACGTTCCTTCTAAACTACTCAGCTCCAAGGGTTCCGCACATGGTGATGGTGGCAATGACCTTCAGAGACCCACGCGGCTGGGACCAAAGTTAGAGGGAACGCTGCTTAGGAGTCGGCTGGAAGAAGAGGAGCAGCTAGAGAGAGGTCAGAAAAAAAAAACAACACACTCGCACTCCCTCTGGACTCACATAGAGGCTGAGTGCAGGTTTGAGAGCCTCAGGTCAAGGTTGCATCGAGTTGGTGGCCTGTCATCTGTGGGTGACACAAACCCATCGGTGTCGTCGTCAAGTTGGTCAAGGAAGCTCCGTACGGTGAAGGCCGACTTGCCAGTGACGGCAAAGTCAGTTTTGGTGTTGAAGTCATCTTCGGAGCCATCCTCCTCCTCTTCCTGAAGAGAAAAAAAAAGCAAACTAAAAAAACTAGCAATACACCCTCTACACTGTATTAGCTTCACAGGGTCTGCCCCTTCCTGGTGGAGAACTCAGCTCCTCCCTGCTACAGGACCATTCTCTGACTGTGACCTTTGGCCATGTGTGTGTCCACAGCCAATCTGAAGATGAAGCATTGAAATTTTTCGCTGCATGACTTTGGATCTAACGGAACAGTGTTTTTCCACTAATGGGAGGAGTGAAAGCTTCCTGTACAAAGCATGATCTGGATTGGGAATCTGTAAAAGTGAAGAGTGAACCAAGGAAGGCAACGTTTTTAAAAGGATGATCAGCAGACTTTTAAAAATTGGTGTAATCTATCTGCGAGAAACAAACTCGAGACATAACACCAGTGCAAAACGACAACTCTACTCCAGCCCAAGACCAAATGCACTTCAATACTACGCTTGCTGAAAGCAGACAATCTTGCATGCCTGGCACTTAATGAGCCTTGGTCTCAGCTCCTATGCATATTTCTGGAAAAGAAAAGAAAGGACTGTGTACAGTCCTGGTCATCCTGCTATGCATTTAGCTATAACTTCCTCTGATATAGTTTATTCAACATACGAACCACCCAGTGTCTAAAAAAGTTGCCCCTCAGATACCTTTTAAATCTTACCCCTTTCACTTTAAAACTACACCCCCTAGTATTGAACCAACCCATCCTAGGGCAAAGACTTTCACTATTCACCTTGTCTATACCCCTCATGATTTTATAAACCTCTATAAAGGTCACCCTCAACCTCCTACACCCCAGCGAAAGAGGCTCCAGCCTATCTTTATAACTCAAACCTTCCACTTCCAGCAACATCCTGGTAAATCTTTTCTGAACCCTCTCCTATTTAATAATATCCTTCCTATAACTGGGTGACCAGAACTGCACACGGTACTCAAAAAGAAGCCTCACCAACGTTCTGTGTAACCTCAACATGACATCCCAACTCCTACATCCCTGAGCAATGAAGGCAAGTGTGCTGAACGCTTTCTTAACCACCCTGTCTTCATGTGACGCAAACTTCCAAGAATTATGTACCTGAACCCATAGGTCTGTCTGTTCTGCAACATTACCCAGGACCCTACCTCTTTGTATAAGTCCAGCCCTTTATTTTTAAACCAAAATGTAATATCTTGCATTTATCCAAATTAAACTCTATCTGCCACTCCTCAGCCCATTGACCCAACTGATCAAGATCTCTTTGTAATCTGAGATAACCTTTTTCACTGTCTTCACTTAAGATGTTTGGGCCTGGTTCAGTATTTAGTTGCATCGTGGGTGATCTGCACCTCAGCTCCACTGACCTGCCTTTGTGCCAAATGCCATTCCCCAATAGAAACGCAACTGGTCAAGGGAGAGAGATGACTTATTCCAGATGACTGGTGCGTGCGTGCGCGTACGTGCATGCGTGTAAAGAAACTGCATGCTTCTAAATGCCTTTGTCACTCCGATTGAAAGGTTACAGAAATCAGACCACTTTCCCCAGCCATTTGTTTGAATTGATTTTCTCGATTAAACTATTGAGAGGATTTGGAAGAGGATCTTGGAAGAATTTCAGCAATTTGTCCTTTTCACAGCTGCCTGCTGCCCATCAGTCAGTCAGTAAGCAAAACCACTTAAACACTTACCGGCTAATCAGTGAGGTAGCTCATCAATCTGTATAAACTAATTCTTCACAGCGTGTACTATAAATTATGCAAATTCATTTTGTCACCACTGAAGTTCCAATAAGAAACTGGTCTCCTCAGAGTGATGTTTGCTCCAATTACACAGGCTCGATCAATTGCTGGCATTGTTGATGGTAAAATGACTCATATTTCATACTGGTTTGGAAATTCAGATCCTTCCGTGACCTTCAACCCCACTAAAAATAGCACTAAAGACTCCAAGTCCCATGAAGGCCCAACAGAATTCCACCATGTAATTTTATACACAATGGTAGAAGGTGCTAAATCAAAGAGCTAATAACTGACATACTGTGTCTGATGATACGATACTGATCCTGCTCATTATCCACTCCCTTGCTCATCACCACACAATGGCAGCAGTGTTTACCATCTACAAGATGAACTACAGCAACTTGCCAGAGCTCCTTCGAAAACGGTCTTCAAACTCACAACATCTACCACCTCCAGGGACAAGTGCAGCAGTTATATAGAAACACCTCTGAGCCACACACGATCCTGACTTGGAAATATATTGCTGATCCTTCAGTGTCACTGGGTCAAAATTCTCCAATTGCATAATGGTCTCCCTACAGCACATGGACTGCCAATGGTTCAAGAAGCAGCTCACCACCACCTTCTCAAGGGCAACTAGGGATGGGAAACAAATGTTGACGCAAGTAGTGAATGAATTTAAAGAAATGCTGAGTAGTTTACTTATAGAATCAAAAGAATCTTACAGTACTGAAGGTGGCCATTCAGCCCACTGTGTCTGTACCAGCATTTTGAAAGAGCTATTCAGCTTTGTTCATTTCCTAGTTCTTTGCCCAGAACCCTGCAGATTTTTAATGTTAAAGTATTTGTCTAATTCTCTCGTTAATTGCAGTTTGCTTTCTTCCCTTTTCAGGTATCACATTCTGATTCACAACAACAAAAAAAAAAAAAAATCACTGCACAATAAGATTTCTTCCCATTTTGAATTCCAGGTTTTTAACTGAATTAAAGTTTTACCAATTGCCAAGGTGGGGTTTGAACCCACGTCCCAGGACAATAGCCTGGGGTTTTGGATTATCATCCAGCAACACTACCAGTACTCCACCTTGTGCCCTTCTGCCATGCCTTCACTTGGTCCAGGTTCTAGAGTTCTCTAGTTTTAGAAGTCCCTCCCTTAACCTCTCAGACTGTTCACCTCTCTTTCTGAATGGCAACCACGTAACCACTTTCTGACTGTCGTAAAACATCCACATCTGTTTCATTAATACCCTTTCGGAAGGGAAATCTGCCATCCTAACTTGGCCTGGTCTACATGTGTCTCCAGACCCACAGCAATGTGACTGACTCGCAACTGCCCTCTGGGCAATTACGGATGGGCAATAAATGCTGGCGTAGCCAGTGACACCCACATTCCTTCAACCAATATTTTAAAAAGTGGCTTTGTTTTAAATTCTCATCTTTAGGATGGCAGTTCCAACATCACTGCACCCACTCAGCAACTCCATTAGAGAGTACCTCAGCTTTGATTAGATGCTACACTTCCTGAAGAGAACCATGGCCTTCAAAGTCAACTGAACCAATGCCAACACCCAACAAAGTGGCTTGGAGCAGGGTTTTGATTCACAGAATCCCTACAGTACGGAAAGAGGCCATTCAGCCCATACAGTCTGCACCGATCCTCTGAAGAGTATCCCTCATAGACTCAGGTCCATAATCCCACATCTGCCATGTCTCTACCACCAGCCTGCACATTCCTGGACACTACAGATAATTTAGCATGGACAATCCACCTAACCTGCACATCTTTAGACTGTGGAAGGAAGCCCAGAGGGGACCCACGCAGACATGGCGAAAATGTGCAAACTCCACACAGGCAGACAGTCACCTGAGGGTGGGAATCAAACGTGGGTCCCTGGCACTGTGAGGCAGCAGTGCTAACCACTGAGCCACGGTACCATCCATTTACAGGCATCACTTCACATGGGTGTTTTCTACATAGAAAAGAGCAGGTGAAACAAGCACTGCACACACATTGTTTCAAAAACACAATGTTCTATGCTTCTGCATTCCACAGAGCTCCAATGTGCAGGATTGGACCAAATAGACAATGTCCAGCACTGATTCAAATGTCACCTCTACAATATTATTATCACACGACCACACACTCACATGTGGGAGTTTTCTGTGAACCCTGTGCTGCAGAATATCGTCAGTGATCCAGAAAACACGCACATACCAGGCTGGTTAGAGTCGGAACACTGCTAGATATTCCTGCCACTCACTTGGTTACTAATTGGGGATTACACGGAGATAATCCTGACTCGAGGTTAAAACCGGCTGCAAATGTTAACACTCCCATGCTCAGGACAGGCACAAGCAAACACAAGGCTTTGGCAAAGAAAACAAAAAAATAAAAATCCAGACACTGCTTCACCACAATGCATGATCTGTCCCAGTAACACGCCGAACCACAAATGGAGTGCAGAACAGTCTGGAATTTGGACAGATGTAATTGGCGCCCAGGTTAATGCCACAGGGGAAATTGCAGATTTCCTCAGAAAGTTGGCTAAGGTTTGTTTGCTTGGCAGTTTGTGAAGGGGTGGAGTTGGGGTGAGTGACCTTATGAACAATGTCCAATTCCCTGATGGTGCTGACCCAAAATTAACTGAAACTGCAGCGATATGTATCACCTTCCAGAGAGAAATTGGGGAAATCATGGCAGGGGATAACCTGAGATGGATAAATCTTGCAACTATATTCCTCTTCAGGGAAATTCTCTACCTGTGACCACTCACTTGGTGAGTTTTTCCAAGGATGAGGTCAACAGATTTTTGGACACCAAGGGATATGGGGAGAGGGTCCTAAGTGCATTTGATGTGAAAGTTAAAACTGCAGCCTGATTTAAAGGCCAAAGTAGGCTCAAAAATTACCCCAAAGGCCTACTCCTGCTCCTATTCCTTATGTTGACTTAGACACTACAACCTTTAGGCAACGGTGCCAAATGAATCAATTTCTTTTGAAACAAATTAGTTTATTTTACTTTACTTGAGGGACAGCACCTCGGATTCTACGTAAGGGCAGAATCAGAGCCATATCAATGAGCACTGGTCTCCCTCAAAAACAGACGTTTGTAACTCCACAAGCAAGAGAACTTAGATAAAATACTGAAGGGTGCCACATCATTTAATTACCTCAAAAGTGCAATGTTATATCAAATCCGTCAAAACCACTCAAGAGAATTTAGTTCATCAAATGAAACAAGTACTCGACAGTCATTTCAAGGCTTTGGGGGGAGGGGCGGGTGTGTGCGGGGGAGATGGATGGAAACAAAAAAAAAACCAACACCCCCACCCTGCCATGTCTCTCCGTCTCCTCCGCCCAAACCCAAGGTGAACAGGGCATGTCAAAATCAACATCTTGTCACTCCATCCTGCGCTTTGATTAAGGGGTCATTGAGAAGCCACTGCGCATCAAATCAGGTTAGAGAGATGCTGCAACACCATTAATGATTCTCGGTATCATTTTTTAAAAAACGGGCCGGCCATTGTTGAATCATTCTGCGTGGTAACAAATCAAGAAAAACCAACTTGGATTGGATCGTCTGTGCAAATCAGCGATTAGTCAGCGGTGGAGGGGGTGGTGGGGGTGGGTTGGGGAGGGGCAGGATTTCACCTTTAGGTCCTCGATGAAGGAAGCTGTTTCACCCTCTATTATCGGCTGCAGCAAAGGGCTTCGCCGCTTGCTCGATGGGGAGCCCTGTGGTGGGTATTAACAGGCAGGTTATAGTTGTTCAGGCTAACAGCAGACTCCAGCGCCCGACCCCACCCCCCCCTTTACTTCCCCCACCCACCCAACCGTAACACCACCCCTCCCACCTTGCCTCTCGTCTAGTAACACCACATCCCACGCCTGCATGCTACTTACGATGACGGGGATGGCGGTCGCCCTTGCTAGGATCTGCTTCAACAGGCGGTAACGATCGTACAGAGGTTTCATTATCTGCCTCTCAGCCTTCACGACCTGAGGAGAAACACGAGGCATCAGGTTTCAAAGTCTGGGGGACACCATTATTCCCTGAGAATTTGGGACAGCACAGTGGTTAGCACTGCTGCCTCTCAGCGCCAGGGACCTGGGTTCTATCCCAAACTTGGGTGCATGTGCAGAGCTTACACGTTCTCCCTGTGTGGGTTGGCTCCAGTTTATTCCCACAGTCCAAAGATATGCGGGTTAGGGTGGATAGGCCATGGGGTGGGTCTGGGTGGGTGGCCTTCGGAGGGTCAGGGTGGACTCGACGGGCCAAATGGCCTGCTTCCACACTGTAGCATCTCTACGATTCTGTGCGTTACGGCTCACGTCTGAAATGAGGAGGTGGCACACAGACAGCCAGCAAGAGGCACTCACCACCCTGCGAACTCAGCAATCAATAAGCCCACAGGCACCTCTGTCAGGAGGCAGATGCTGACAGTCTCTCTGCGTGAGACAGAAACAAAAATAAAAAAAAAATCGTTTTCCAGAATGCTATTAAGGAAGTAAGTGCAGGTTCTGAGGGAACACTTCATTAATATCTTCAGGAAACGGCTGAATTGCCACCAGGGAGAAAGTGCTTGGCTGACATGCCAAAACCTGGTCAGCCAATATAGACCAAATACATCCGGCAGAGTTTAACACTTGAGAGGTCCCTTTCTGTGCCAGGGTGAAGGGCAGTTGGGCTGCGTTTCCTCATCCGCTCACTGCCGTTTCACACTGTGGCTGTGGGCACTGACCCCGAGACTGGGGATGAATGGGAGAGATTGAGGCCTCACTGCTCCAATGGGAGTAGATCGCGACATTGCAGGTCATTGTGAAATAGACAAGGGCCAACTGAGAACCACCTCTCCTCATCGGTCCCCTGGACTTCATGGGCATGGTGGATGGGTGGGTGGGTGGTGGTGTAATGTCACTGGCTAAGTATTCCAAAGGGTTTAACAGAAGGAGTTCAAATCCCACCACAGCTTCTGGTGGATATTAAATTCAATTAGGAAAATCTGGAGTTCAAAATTAATCTTAGTATCAATGATCCTGACATCGTTATTGTTGTAAAACATCTATCGGCTATGGTCAGTTTAGAATCCACATCCAGGAAATTAGCCTGGGCTTCTGGATTACCATCCAGTGACACTACTACTATGCCACCTCTTTCCTAGCTTCCATGCCTTCAACGATTATGGCTCTAGAATTTTCCAGTTCTAGAACTCACTCCCAAAACCTCTCAGTAATCACGTAATCACTGTCTACAGTTGCAAAAACCCATCTGGTTTACTAATGTCCTTCAGGGAAGGAAATCTGCCATCTTTAGCTGGTCTGGCCTACATGGGACTCCAGACCTGCAGCAATGCGATTGACTCCTAACTGCCTTCTGAAACAGCCCAGCAAACCATTCTGTTTAACGGCAAATAGGGATAAGCAATAAATGCTCCTGCCAATGATACCCACATCCCACGAAAGGAGGAAAATGGAAGTTAACAGAAGTCAGATGGTTGTTATCCTTCTTTTTAAGCTCATGCGTGAAAGCCATGTTCCATGCAGGAGAACATCCCCCAAGTGCTGAGAAGCTCAGAATTCATTGGATAATAACAGGTCAGATTGCTACATTTCTGCAGAAGCTTGGCTAGTCTGCACTGTGATGCCCTACATTACTTGAGCTCCATCTGATAGAAACAAACGCAGTCTACAGCACTATGCACAGTCTGACTTGCATCGTTTCGGTAGGGTGCAGAAGCACCAGGAAAAGGCGCAAATCAGGATTTGGACAAACTTGATCCCAGAACAGAATGAAAAGGTGGAATGCAACAAATGGGAACTTGTCAATAGATGGGCATCCTAGGAGGTCCTTAAAACTCCGATGGGTTTTTAATGGGCTGCTAGATGTACCAAATGCGCTTCCACTACTGGGGGCAGGGGGGAAAATGCCTGCGTTTGGGAGCCTGCAATACTAGATAGTTACCAATTGGGGCATTCATAAAAACAACCTTTCTCCTTCCATTACATCATTACAACAGGGAGCTGATGAGCTGAATGGCAGATGCATTTTAGTGTGGGGGAGTGGAATTGGATGGGAACGAGGAAGGAATAGAATACACTGAGGGACGTGCAGTTTAAGTCAAAGTACAGCACGGGAAGGCGCATGTGGTGCATAAACACAGGCAGATACCAGATGGGCTGGAAAATTTCAGGTCTGCGTATTGAATACTTACCGGTCGCCCGTGTATGCTCTCATAGTACAGAAGACCCTTCTGCAGAGCCACTTTTTCACTAGCGATCTCATCTCGAGTCATGTCCTGTTCAGAGAGACAGAGAACAATTAAGCAACAAAAACTTCAAGGTGTCACCGGTCAACTGTAAAATGAAGGACCAACAGAGGAGTGGGTGGAATGGGGCTGGTGCAAAAGACAATGGTGAAGGAGCACATCCATCTCGCACCATGCACAATTATTTTCCCACTGACCTTTCTACAGGAAGAGCGTCACATGGCAGTGTGTACTGACCAATTTTACCCAACCTCCTCACCTGCAGTACTGCAGAATAAGGGGCTTCTCACAGGAATAGCAAGATCCAAGATCTGTGTTGAGGAGGGCAAGTGACTTTTTTTGGGGTGGGGAAAAGGGGTAAACAGGGCTCACTGAGATCATTCACACGACAGTGAAGGCTACCTGGATGGAAAAAATGGTCTCAAATTATTCTTCCTGTGGTCCAACACTAACACAGGGACACTACTGCTGCACCACCTTGCTCTGTCTCTTTCCATTACCCAAATGAGGTGCTACATTTATACAGCACCTATCTCGTCCCAGAGTGCTTCACAGGTAATGATATGCAGTCGGTGCTGAAAGCTCAGCAGTCAAATGAGCGCACAGCACAATCCCGTAGAGCAGGCAGCCTGGTTTTAGATGAAGTACGAACGCTTCCAACTTGCGATACGTGCCCAGATGAAAAAGGGGAGATGGTGCTTTTGATTTAAAATCTTATTTGAGGGACAGCACCTTGGACAGCGCAGCACTCCTGCGACACCGCGCTGGGAACGTCAGACTGGATTATGTGCTCGAGTGTCTGAGAGATGACTGCGCGTTCCACTGAGTGACAGCTGGCACGCCCAGCTTACCTTGATATCTTCGGGGCGTGCCACCTCGGCCCGCTTCTCCTGCAGCTTCTTCAGGATGGCGTCAAGCGTCACATCCACCGGCGGCTTCTGTGCCTTCTCCGCCGCCTCCGGCTTCTTATCCGGCTCCTTCTCGGGCCCCTTCTCCAGTTGCGAGCCGAAGCTTTTCGGGAGGGTGTTGCTGCGCTGCCTCATCTGGGGGACAACACCTTCTTCGGAGACCTTCAGCTTGGTTTCTGTCCAGGAGCAGACGGAAAGGAAAGGAACAAGATGGACGGGCGAGAAGACGAAAGTAAATAAAGGAAGACCCCGTTTAGCAGATGAACTTGTCAAATAGTTTCGCTTTCAAAACATCTTCCAAGAAATGCAAGCAGCTGCCAAGTTCTTTTTTTTTGGAACATTAACAATATCTCTTGGGAGGCAATCAAACTGATGAGTGAGTCTAATATTTTAGCACGTCAAAAGAATCTGGTTTTCTGTCACTGATAAGTGGAAACACCAGAAAATATAGGTGTAGGCAAAGGACGGGACTGTGGTATAGGCGCCAGTCAAGGGGAGAAGTTTTATAAGGAGCCTTTAAAGAAAGGAGGAAAGGGAGGTGGAAAGGGAAAGAGGGGGTGGGGATGGTTGAAAATAAACACAGTTTTAAGAAGAGAATTCTCAGGCCCAGAGGCCTTAAAAGAGTTACCTTTCAGCTGCTTGCGAAGCTTTGCGAGTTCATTCATCCATTTCAGCACTTCTGGGTTCGTGGCCTTGTCGCTGTGCGAAGGCTGAGGAGAGAAAAAGCAATGATAATTCCTGGTTATAAGAAACGGAGGAGGACAGCACTGTGACACTGAAAATAAAAAAGGAGATAATGAAAAGAATGTCCTTTCCTCATCTAGCTGGGTTCTGAAGTGGGTGTTAAAATTGGGAGCCGTGAATGTGGTACCACTGGCCAGGCTGAGTAGGCCTTGACAACGCAGTAGGCCCAAAAGCCTGCACTGAACAAGCGGAGCATGGTCAAGGCATTGGTGCACAGTGAGCAGCAAGAGAAATAAATATTTCAGCACTTAATCATTTTTCGGCCTCCCTGCTCACTTACTTACAAAATAACAGTTTCACTGTCGAGACTCAGTAAAGAAACAGGTAATGTGCTAAGACCATTGATGTGATCTTCCACTTGCAACTGGCCTGTTTCCAGCCTGCCTGCCTCCGTTAGTTTCCACAAATCGACAGAAACAGTTAATAAAATGCAATAAAAAGTTTTAAAAGTCCTCGAAATTTTCTTGGGATATTAATTCCCAAAACATTCTGGGCTAATCCCAGAGAGTTGGCAACATTAGTTTGTACCAGAAACTGGGAGATGGAGTGGGGGTCTATTAGGCTTTGCACCTCCTGTTGGAGCGACAAGCTCCAGTTTGGACAGAGGTCAACTCAATTGGATTTCAATGTGTGGAATATAACATTTGTTCCTCATCTTTAGAAATGGACACGTAGTTTGCAGTTTTGGTTGTCAAAGTGACCAATTAACTGCCCTGAGGTTTGACATTCATCCCGTAGTTCAAGACTGCCCTGATTAAAGAGTCAGGACTGGCAAAGCTACCCTCAACCTCTCTCAGGATTGACTGTGTCCTGAGGACTTGGAACGTGCCACCTCAGTTGCTAGATTAAATGCCAAGAGGCCTAGCGAAGCATGTTAGTGGTAATGTCAAATGAACCACTCCAGTAACTCCCACCTGCACTCTCCAGTGAAAGAGTGATTACTTTCGAGAAACACCACGTTGCTCTCTGTAACGTCCTGAAGAGGTGACATTTATAAACACACCGAGTTCCCATCATTTCACCACACGTCCCCACCTCCCTATTTCAGCTTCTTCAAAACCCAACTTACACGGTATCTCCGCTCTTCCTCGAATTTCTCCTCAAACCTCCTGATCTTCTTCTTCAAGTTCTGGATCCTCCGGGTCATTTGCGCTGGGGTCAGCTCCTCCCTCTCCTCGTCGTGGGAGCCAAGGGACGAGCTCCGACGCCTGCCAACACCAGAGAGAGAGCACACTCGTGTTAAACTGTGCCGGGCCTAGTTTAATCTGGCCGCCAAAAGAAAAGTCGCGGAGGTAAGTGCTGCTCTGATGTCACAGCCTTTTCCTGAGGTGCATGCATCAATGGCCATTACAGTGAGGGTCATGCAAACGTTTTGCACAGGAGGCCATTCAGCCAACCATACCTGTGCTGGCTCTTTAAAGGGAGCCATCTGCTCATCCTAATCCGCCTCCCTCTTCCCATAACCCCTGCACCTTTCTTTCATTGTATCGCATTTTACTAATTCCCTTTTGGAAGTTACAAAATGATCCTGCTTCCAACATCGATGCATTACAGAACAACCTGGCTTGCTTAAAATAAAATTTGAAAAATCCTTTCTCATCTTCTCTCCCCTTAGGGTCTTTCCTCAATTATAACAGCTTCCTTTTGACGTTGCGGCAAAAAAAAAAAAAATAGAATTGTCGCCTTGGAACATGTCTCTGAGGCAGTGACAAGCATCATTTTTCTGGACGGCTGATGCTGTGAAAACATGGCATGCTTCTTTGTAAACGAGTCCGACAAAATATCTGGGAGAAGGTGCAGAGGAGATTTATCAGAATGATATCAGGCATGAGAAACACCTGGTACACTGGATGGTCTGGAGAGGCTAGGTTCGCCCCCCCCAGCACCCTTGAAGGGAGAATTTAACCAAGGTATTAAATCGAGCTATTGAAAACTATAATGGGTTTTGTTGGACCCGATCAATTCCAGGAGGGAGCCAGTATCCTCAGGACAAAGATTTATAATACAGCAGATGTGTGTCTTAAAATTGCAGGAGGACGACAGACTCTGTATGTTATGACGATAATTAGCATGTAACTGAAGAGTAAAAGACTCCAGGCTTAATCCCCAGTCTGTGTTGAGTAATCCAATCTCAGCTTGGGTACATTAAAACTAGCTTGGAGAAACAAAATATGACAGATTGCTAAGAACTAATTCAGTTAACTGAAAGGTTCTATCAGAAATAGCTGAGCATGCTGGGGATCTTTACTCTGGAAGAAGGAAGCTGTAGGGTCATCTGATTCAGGTAAACAACACAGAGAATTCCAAATGAATCTGTCTTTTTTCCCTATCTTGTTTCTGAATATGGACCTGAATTGGATTGGTCCATGCTTGTGAGCCAAGTACAGTAGCAATTTGCATTTGCCTTGTGTAAGATGGCTGTCTGGGAAACTCTCCTGCTCTTCCTTTGTGCCGTCAGGAGTATTGGAAGGATTCAGGCCGTTTGGCCTCATCATGCACAAACCTTCCATGACTTAGAAAGTTCTGGAGCGGGACTGAAATCCAGAGGTAGAAATGGCACCACAAGATCAAAATACCTCGAGTTAATACCATGGAGGCTTCGAGGGGTCACCACTGAATTATTTTGGGGGAGGAGGAAAAATGGCAACATTCAGGCCTCTCCTCCACACTCACCTCATGAAGGAATGAGAATCAGGGGGTGATGGGGGTACTTCTGTATCATTGAGGAACTGCTGGCTCTGACCATAGGCGTAGAAGCGAGGTGATAACATGGGGTCGGAATCTTCCTCCAGCAGTTGGCGAATCAGCCGGCCAGCCTGTGGCGACACTCGAGCTTCCTCGGACTCAGCATCTGGAGTCTGCCACACCAGGGGAGCCGAGACGGACTCTGAAACGACAGCAACCACCAGCCACAGCATTAAAAACCTTCACTGCTGAACAACTATGGCCACCATTCTCTGCTTTGTAAACTGCCACACAGTGTCAAAATCCTACTTTTAGCCTCAGCACAAACATGTCATTCAGGTCTAGTCATCCCGCACTTCAAATTTGGGCTGGGTGGCCAGTGGGGAGCTGTAGCCAACCTTCGCTCCACATCCTCTCAAAATATGCTGCATACTTGTATGTGTGTGCATGGTATATTCGTTTTTTTTTGTATGCATATGCTTACTTGTGTGTATTGGTCAGGGTGTGCATCCCTTGTGGATGTGTGTGTGTTGGTCCACATGTGCCCCTTATATTGTGGATGTGTGCATGTGTTGGTCTGAGTGCATGTTAGATTGTGGATGTGTGCATTTATCCATAAGACCATAAGACATAGGAGCAGAAATTAGGCCATTCAGCCCATCGAGTCTACCCCGCCAATCAATCGTGGCGCCATTCTCCCGCTTTCACCCCGTAACCCTCGACAATCCCGGTGTGTTGAACCGTGCATGTGCTTATCTCTGTGCGCACGCAAGCACTCGTCTGTGACCATCTCTGTGCCTGTGCTAAATATTTACAAATTTGAATCAGTGATCTTTAACCGGAAGGTGAAATCAAACCCAGCCCTTTTCACCGTGCAGCATCGAAATCTCGAAAAGGAAAACCCTAGAGGTGGGAGGCTCGTGATTCAATTCAGAACTCATTCCATTCTACAGAGAACCTCTCTGTGCAAAAATGCTCAATATCTTTCTCAAGAATTAAGTCGTCTTTAAAATAAATTGCATAGAACTGAGGCCAAAGTGCCAGTCCATTCAACCCAGGGTGTTCTTCAACGACAGATTTTTATCTTATTTGAAGAGAGATAATTTACGCCAAAAATCAAACATGTTTAATTTTCACAATCCTTCCAACAAAAATAGAGCTTTAGACTGCCCGCCAAGTAAAAATGAATCAGAATCAGAAACGCAAAAGGTTTCAGATTAAAAAGTACAGAAATGAATTCCTAGAAATTACATGTTGTTACTTTCGGGAAGCAACAAAATTCTAAGTGCCTGGTTTAGAAAACAGCATCCAGTGGCTGGTTTGGAAATAGACAAGGAAAGATTACCTCCCCATTCCTTGCCCTCGGTGAGGCCAGTCAAATCCAAACGGGGTATCTCTAGAGTGGCGCTCCCTTCTGGCGTGGCTGCTTCAGAATTCCTCGGTGCTTTGGCCACGTCGCTTTGGCTCAGAGGTTCTTGGATCTTCATGGCTAAATTCTGCAAGCCCCAAGCAAGAGGAAAGAAACGCTTCAAATTGTATATATATATATATATATATATTTTTTTAAAAAATCAGCACGGGGAAAAAAAAATCTGGAGACGAACAAGGAGAGGGAAGGGACTGAGAGTCTTCTACTCCGCTGGTCCCAAGTTCGAACAACACCCTGCACAGATACAAGACAAATTTCCCGATCGTGATCCGCCCACCGTGATGGGCTGGGAGATCTGGAGACAGCCCATCTGTTTTATCTGCAGAAATCGCCTGCCCTTCTTATACAGTGACAGACAACTGCCTCCTCCTCCTCCCTCCAGCTTGTTTACATCTTACAGACAGTACTTGCCATAAAGGAGCTGCGCTCTCTGTGTAGTCTAGCCCCTTTGCAAATCCCCTCACAACTTGAACTAACTACAAAATAATAAAAGAGCTAAGGATTGGGGAGAGAGGAGGAATAAGATGCAACTTGCAAGATGCTCCCTCGGCCGTCAAAATTTGCAAATTATTAAGGGGGAGGAGCAGAGAGGCGACTGATGTGAACTGGGATGTGTGTGCACACCCCATTAACGTCTGCAATAGGCTCTGCACAAATTAAAACTTCATATGGATGAAGTAGGAATAAGGATTTAAGTGAATCCAGGTTGGTGTGGATCTGTATTTATAGGCAGCAGAAACGTGACCTCGTCCACATACACACACACACATTCCCCAAACACAAGCTTCAGGGTGATAGTGTAGGACGGTTATTACGTGACTCATAGGCGTCTCTGAACAAAAGAACAGGACTGGCGCTCTGGGACTCAGTGTTCTGGTAATCAGCCAGCACACACACCACACCAGGCAAGAACAGTCAGCTGGAGAGCTCGACTGTATCGCTGAGGTGCTGGCCGATTCATCGTTTCAGTTTCATTTTAAAGCAGCCTTCAATTTCCCACTACCTCCCCCATCGGTGTATTTCACGAGAGAATTATGATTCAGTGCCGACCTTCTTCCCACCCACCCCTTCCCCAAACCATGCAATAAACGTCAGATGGTTGGCGATACACAATGTGTCTTTCAAAGGTCTGGCTTTCACGGGATACCACAGGGGAAGGTACAACTCGGGACAGAACGAGTCCCTGTTAACAACAAGTTGCATTCACATAGCACCTTTGGCATGAGTGAGACTTGGCTGCTCTTGTGGACAGATCACAGAGAGTTAACGTGTAGGCTCAGCAAGGTCGTGACGAATAAAAATGGTGTGTTAATTTATTGCAAGCCAGCTCAGTGCAGAAAACTGTAGATTTCTCTATCTGGCAACTCCAGAGGATACTGGTGCCTGGCAATACTGTTTACAGTTTTGGGCTCCTCACCTAAGGAAGCAGGTACAGAGGTAGTCTAATAAAAGTTCTTTAGATTTGATTCGATGAAAAACCTGTCCACTGGGTAGAAATTGAGCCTAACTTCTCTAGAATTTGAGAGGTTGAGTGGTGATCTGATTGGAATGTCAAAACCTCTTGGACAGGACTTGTGTCGAGAGGCTGTTTCCAATATTCCCAAACAGCCGCTCTTAGGGTCCACACATTCTGATCGGTGGGCCGATGCACTAATTCCTCGGAAGTCTGCACAGTGGCTGGGGAAATCTAGGCATTTTCCTCAGGTTAGAGATTCTGGAGCTATGGAACAAAAGAATAACATAAAAAGGTATGGCCAGTTAGAATTGAGATGAAGGGTAGTTTATCCACTTGAAATTTGTGACTTCCTGGAATTCTCTATCCCAAAGGTCTGTGGTTACTCAGCTGCTGAATATATTCAGGACTGAGATCAATAAATTTGTGGGTTCTAAGAGTGTCAAAGATATAAGTGCAGGACAGGGAAGTGGAATAGAGGTGCAGCCATGATATTTGTAAATGACCTACTCCTATTATTACATTTTTATGAGCTTACGAAAGGTACTGCATAAATGTGTCTGTTATCCCTTTGAGCTTTGTGAACCATTCTTCAGGCCTTCCCCCATGCTATGCTGTACATACAGCACTACTTCTTGTATTTGCCCAGAATTCGTTAAGGTACGAGTTCACATTGGATACCTAAAGGATCTGCACATTGAGGGAAGTGGTGGCAAAATGATAATATCAGTAGACTGGTAATCCCTAAATCAAGGGTAATTAATGCTCTGAGGATATGAGTTCAAATCTCCCCACGGTGAAATTTGAGTTTGATAAATATTTGGAAAAAAGAAAGCTAGCCTAATGGCTACTATGTAACCACTGCCATTAAACAAAAAAAAACTGATTTATTAATGTGTTTTGGGAAGGAAATCTGTCCTCATTAACTGTCTGGCCTATATGTAACCCCAGACCACAGCAAATGTTGAGTCTTAACTCTAACAAGTCACTGGCTTAGCAAGTCTCTCTGAGCAAGGGATCGTGCCAGCAAAACCTACATCCCATGACCAAAATGAAGAAAAACACAACATAGGAAACAAGGCTGCAAACATGGTGACAACAGGATGCTCCAGAGGGCAAAAGAAGAAAACCTGATCGGTAGCACTCCATGATTAAGATCCAGGTGAGGACAGCAGGATTGCAACCCTTTTGACTACTGACTAAGATCAAGCTTTGCAAGGCAGCAGTGATTCCCATACTCCCACATTGATTTGAAGTCTTGGACAACCCATGGCAGATACCTCAAAGCACTGGAGAAGGACCAGCAGAGAAGCGTACACAATGCTTCAAGTACAAGCTGCTCTGCATGGGTCAGAATCTGTAGACTGGACTAATCAGCCATCTCAGAACCCATCAAATCAGAATGGGAAGCAAGTCATCCTCGATACTGAGGAACTGGCTGAGGGAGAAGACTGATCTACGGTGATGTGGGAAAAACCTTTCTACATAGTAAGAGGTTAAAATCCGGAATGTACTGCCTGACAGTGTGGTGGAGGCAGGTTCAATCCATGGTTTTCAAGTGGAAATTGGATACTTACCTGAAGAGAAAAGAAAACATCGCAGGACTACATGGACAAGTAGTGGTGTTGCTCTTGAGAGGGCGAGTAAGGACACAGCTCAATTGTTTGCTGAAGCCCATTTGGCAGGTTTCAAACAAGTTCCTACAAATGGCCAAATTTTAAAAAAAAAGGGAGATAGCAACGGTTTGCATTCAAAAAGCATGAATCTGTTTTTTTTTTTTAAGAAGTTCTCTTTCAATCTTTGGGAAAATGTTCCTTAAGTAATGGCTCTGTCAATTTAATAGTGTTGTTTTTGAAGGAGGTCCATGTATTCCGTAGCAGGGCTATTCACTCGAGAGCACAGCTCTGGTGCTATTTACATAAATTCCTCTTGGCATCTGCCCATTTCCAACCCATTCCGCTATAAAAAGGGGTGACAGACAATGATACAAAAGATGCCTGCAAAGTTAACAGAGACAGCTCAATTGAGGTTTGACACTTGCGTAAAGGTTATTTGGAAATGAAAGAAAGAGGAAATATTTACATTGTATAGCTAAGGATGTGACTAGATCCAATCACTTTTGAAGTGTAACTACTGTTGTAATGTGGGAAATGCAATCAATTTGTGCACAGCAAGATCCCGTAAACAACAATGAAAAAAAAAATCAGATACGGGACACCTAGAGAACTCCCCTCCTTTTCTTCAAACAATATAGCAATGCCTGATTTCATACACAGACCCAGTAAGGACAGTCAAAACCTTCACTTAATGCCTCATCTAAGAGACAGCACAGCATTTCAAAAAAAAGAGGAAGGAAAAGAAAGAACTGCAGATGCTGGAAATCTAAAATATGTAAACAGAAATTGCTGGAGAAACTCAGCAGGTCTGGCAACATCTGTGGAGAGAAAGCAGAGTTAACATTTCTGGTCCAGTGATCCTTCTTCAGTACCGGCTACAGCCAGGAAAAGTTTGGTTTAACCAGCTAAAAAAGGAGAATCAGCCTACTCAGGCTCTAGACTAGGCTTGAACCCATGATGCTGACTCAGATGGAGTGGGTGCTACCACTGATCTAATTCAACAGCATCATTTGACTTCTGCTCACCATGATTCAGAGTTTTCAAAAAAAAAGGCAGGGACAATAACTCTGCACATTGTTCTTCTTCAACAGTGTTGTGGATTGCAGAAGGAGTTCATTCAGTGGAAACGTGGAGTAAATAATATTACCACAATCTGACCCATCTGTCTGTTAGCAGAGATATTGTTGAGCCTTTAGAATTCTCCACCACAGAGGACTGCAGACTGCTGAGTCATTATGTATGTTCAAGACAGAGATTGATAGATTTTTGATACTAAAAGAATGAGAGATAATAGGATAGAGCAGGATGGCATGGTGGTGGAAGATCAGAGATAAAGGGATCATAAGTTCCAGGGAGAAAGCAGGAACAGGGTATTGAGTTGGATGATCAGCCATGATCATAGTGAGCTGCGGATTAGACTCGAAGGGCTGAACGGCCTATTCCCATTCTAATTTTCTTGTTTCCAAATTGGGACACGTCGTGTTGACTGGCAATCCAAGCCCAAAGGGCCAAATGGCCTGTACCTTGTGGTTTCATGCTTCCAGCATGTGGTTTTTGTTTCAGAAAAAAAAAAATCAATAACTGCAGCAATTTGTTTCCTTTCTTTCAAAAGCTGCCTACACTCAAGCTTGAACACTGAAGAGCACCAGTTTGAAAACTGTCCCGATGAATTCACACTTATGGGTGCTGAGCATTTACCGGTGTTGTGAATTACTGAAGGCATCATCAGCACACCAATAAGACCCGAAAGATAATAATGTCAAACCTCTCATGGACAAGATGCCAATTCAACTGTCTCAAGAATCGGTCATGTCAGCAATAATTTATCATCTGCCCAATGGCCCACTGTATGGAGGGAGGGGTGAAAATTCTCATGGGTGATTGCACAAAGCAGGCAATGGAAGGAATGCAGCTGTTTAACACACATTCCTCTGAATTCTGTGCAAAAAATCAGGTAGGGATCAGCTGCTATTGCACCAATGACTTGGAAATTCATCGCTGTTTCTTCACTGTCATGGGTCAAAATCCTGGAACACCCTAACAGTGCTGTAGGTGTCCCTATGATACATGGGTTGCAGAGTTTCAAGAAGGCAACTCACCATCACCATCTCAAGGGCAACTGTGGATGGGCAATGAGGGCTGGCCCAGCCAGTGACACCCACATCCCATGATGGAAAAAGAAATGAATATACTGTTATCTACAGTGACTCAAGACAAAATGAAATATTACCAGAATCAGTGCGTTTCATTTTTTAAACCGACAGCCATGTCAGCACTTTTAACTGTAATCTTTTCCACTTCAACAATCAGTCAAGAAGTGGCCACTGGCCCATCATGCCTCGCTGACTGTTTGAAAGAGCTAATCAATTCATCCCAGAGCCCCATTCTTTCCCCATTACCAGGGGATCTCTCTTCCTATTCAAATATCTATCCAATTCCAGTTTGAACGTTTTCCTCACCTTTTCAGGCAGCGTGGTCCAGAACATCATCCAAAAGATCTCCTGACTGATATCGGAAATAATTTTGCACTTTCCACTGGCATTAAAGCCTTAATATTTTGAACGTCTCTAGTAAATCTCCACTTCACTTTTTCTCCTTGTGAAAAATAAATTGCCATCTCTCCTGTCTCACCATATACTTGATCGCTCACCTCCTTGTGAATCATGTTCAGCCACTTCTTCAAAGCCCTGACAACTTTCTCACAGTGTGATGTTTGGGACTGGTCACAACTTTCCAACATATAACCAGCACCTTACAGATACTATGCAACAAGTTTATGTATTCTATGCCTCTATTTATAAAGCTTAGGATCTCATTTTTTTTTGTTCCCAATGTTACAGCTGGATTCCAAAGTGCAAAAGCTGCTGTGTAATATCTTTAAAAGTAACAGGGTTGACAGCAACTTGGATTATTGCCATATTTAATATATATATATTCCACTTTTAGATTATGCTGTAGTAATGCAACTTAGAAAAATGACACTTTCATTGCTTACCAGACTCAGTTTAATATGATCGCAAGGCTCCCCACCAGAGAATGATTTTGTGCCTTCTTTTCTGAAACAAAGTAAATCACGCGTGAGATCAAAAAGTGCAAGCAAAGTTCATAAATATGCAAATAATAGGTTAGTGGTTACTATTCATCTTAGTACAAGCTACTACCTAGGCAGAAAGAAATTATGTAATGTCACACTCTTCAGGATACCTTGGAGTGATCATAGTCAAGGATAGTCACGTAGGAACAACCTATTTTAAGCAGGTCCCACAAACAGCAGTGAGATAAATGACAAGATATTGTGTTCTTTTGTTGGTTGAAGGATTAATATTAGCCAGAACTCGCTTGTTCTTCTTCCAATAGTGTAAATGTGATTTTTTTTTATATTGACCCGAGAGGGAAGATGGGCCTTGCTTTAACGTCTCATCCAAAAGACAGCATTTTCTAGAGTCTAGCACTGCCTTGATATTGCACTGTGAACTCCAGCATAGGTTTTAACTAAGAAATTTTTGTCACTAAGAAGTGAAAGCGCCACTAATTCAGTCAAAGCCAACAACAGCGGCAATTTCTAATACGTCTTTTATCATCGAAGAGTTTGCACGGGAAGTGTGAGGCCACATGGAACAAGTAATGTTTATGAATTAGATGGTTAATTGGTTGTACATATAGATGGGGGATATAAGGTTCTTGTGGCATGGTGGTAGTGTCCCCATCTCTGAGCCAGATGGTCTGGGTTTTAGGAGGGGATGGCCTTCTGGTAATACCACTAGACTATTAGTCTAGATGCCCAGATAGTATTCTGGGGACCTGGGTTCAAATCCCACCATGGCAGATGGTGAAATTTGAATTCAGTTAAAACAAATCTGGAATTAAAGAGTCTAATGAGACGACAAAATCATTGTTGATTGTTGGGAAAAAACATCTGGTTCATGAATGTCCTTCAGGGAAGGAAAATGCCATCCATACCTGGTCTGGCCTACATGCGACTCCAGATCCACAGCAGTGTGGTTGACTCTTAATTGCCCTCTGGGCAACGAGGAATGTGCAATAAAAGTTGGTCCAGCCAGCAATGCCCAAACCCCATGAATGAATAATAAAACAATATATACACACACACACAAATAAATAGGAAACATGGGTGATGCCTTGGCTTAAAGCACTGTCTAACAAACAGGAGATCCGGAGTTGAATTTCAGAAGTATTGCCTTCAAGTTCCACGGGCCCCAGATATATGTCAGTGTGTGAACAGGTAGATGAAATAACTAAACAGGCTAAAAGTAATCTGTGGGTGTGGGAGTTGGAATAAAACTCAGATTAGAAAATCAAATCTCAGGATCCTGTCTAACCAACGTTTTAACATCCGGCCTTATCAATGTAAAATGCAAAACAATTAAATACATCCTGTCACCTTTTTATTAACAGTGTATTGCTCAATTAAAGCTGTTTTAGCATAAGGAGCAAACAATGGACTGAATCAATTGTTTACTTCTGCCCCATGCAATGTTAAGACTTTGCAAATTCTTGCTGAGGACAAACTGAGACATATAGCAGTGAAATGCCTACCTTTGAGACTTCCTTAGAAAAAAGCAGAGGGATTAATAGAATAGAGTCATAGAAATATGCAGTGCAAAACAGACCCTTCAGTCCAATGCTCCTATCCCAACTAGATATCCTGAATAAATCTGGTCTCATTTGCCAGCATTTGGCCCAATAAAATGGTTGATAATCAAAAGTCCCCTTAAAACTGAACTGCGCACAGCAGCTCATTCTCTTGTCAGGGTTTGTTCCTTTTACATGTTTTTTTGCACGGCCTCACAGACCACTGCGAGGTAGTTTTCAGGCTGTTGGAGAGGCAACAACCAACAGTGTGTTTCCTGTGACTTTGTGGTTAAGGCATAAATGCTTGTGAAGGGCAGGTAAGGTACATAGAGCTACCAAGGTACTTAAATTCAGTGCTCTATAAATTCTGAAGATAAAACCACTTGCCTTTGATGGGGGCTGTGACAAAATCTGTTCTATCTTTGGATTAGATGTTTGTTGACCATAAGTGCTACCAGTACAGCATTATTACTGTGTGACTGCTCACACAACCTATCATCATTATAGCGGTGGATGAATACCTCCAGGGGGTTATTATGGGGCAGCATGGTGGTACAGTGGTTAGCACTGCTGCCTCACAGTGCCAGGGACCTGGGTTCGATTCCACCCTCGGGCGACTGTCTGTGTGGAGTTTGCACATTCTCCCCATGTCTGCATGGGTTTCCTCCCACAGTCCAAAGATGTGCAGGGTAGGTGGATTGGCCATGCTAAATTGCTCATAGTATTCAGGGATGCATAGATTAGATGGGGATAAGGGGGGGGTGGAAAATGGGTCTGAGTGGGATTCTCGGAGGGTTGGCGTGGACCTGTTGGGCCGTAGGGCCTGTTTCCATATTGCAGGGATTCTATGATCTAAAGGATTAGAGTGAAAGTAAAATACTGCAATGGTGTACATCTGAAAAGGTAAACAGCAAGTACTGGAGAAACCTAGCAGGTCGGGCAGCAATCAGACAGAGAAACACAGAGTTAATGTTTTGAAGAAAAGTTGGCTTGGGCTCAAAATGTTAATTCTGTTTCTCTGTCCACAGATGCTGCCAAGTTTGCCGAGTTTCTCACTTGCTTTATGTTATTAAAGGATTAGCTGTCTTTCAACTGTGGATATGTATGCAAATATTTGTGCAGATTAAGTACTGGAGTTGATTTAAATAAATTGAGTGTGCTTTATCACATCTCACTGGCTATAAATACCACAGTTTTTAAAAGAACACGTCATACAGCAACTTAGCAATTCTGAAAACTTGGTGGGACTCACAGATAACAGGAAGGCTCAAACATTAACCTTAGCACTGGCCCAGCAACATTTAGTTCAGATGGAAGCACTCTCCAAGTTGGGAGGTTATGGCTCAAGCCAAGCACATAACCTGTGGTGCAGCAATTAGAGATGAGATGGCAAACAAGTTAAGACCCCAACCTCCTGCTCTGGCAGGCATGAGGGATCTTGATGAGGAGATTTGTCCAACCAACATATTTTTGATGATCCTGACCTCAAAACTCCAAGACCTAGGTCTCGGCTCTGCCTTTTGCAACTGGATCCTCAGCTTTCTGACCCACAGACCGCAATCAGTGAGGATAGGTAACTGCACTTCCTCCACAATAACCCTCAACACTGAAGTCCACCACCCCCCCAACCCCCGCTAAGGATGTGTTCTTGGCCCCCTACTGTACTCCCTGTACACCCATGACTGTGTAGCTAAATTCTGAATGAATGCCATCTACAAGTTGCTGACGACACACAGTGGTAGACAGATATCAAACAACAATGATTCAGAATACAGGAAGGAGAGAGAGAGGACTTTGTGTCATGGTGCAATGAGAACAACCTCTCTCCCGATGTCGGCAAAACAAAAGAACTGATCATTGGCTTCAGGAAGAAAGGAGCAGAACACACCCCCATCTACATCAATGGATGGGAGATTGAGAGGGTTGAGAACATCATGTTCCTCTGAGTGACAATAACCAACAACCTGCCTGGACTTCCCACATAGATGCGACAGTCAAGAAGGCACAGCAACATCACTTCTTCCTCAGGTGGCTTAGAAAATTCAGCATGTCCAAACTCACAAACTCTTACAAATGCACCATTGAAAGCATACTGTCCGGGTGCATAATGGCCTGGTATGGCAACTGCTCTGTCCAGGACCAGAAGAAACTACAGAAAGTTGCGTGCACAGCCCAGACCATCACGGCAGCCAACCTCTCATCCACGGACTCCAGCTACACCTCTCATTGCCGTGGAAAGGTTGCCAACATCAAAGACCCTTCCCACCGCGATTATGCTCTCCTACAACCTGTTCCATTAGGCAGAAGATACAGAAGCTTGAGCGCGCGCGCGCACACACACACACACTCAGGTTCAAGAACAGCTTCTTCCCTGCCACCATTAGACTGATGAATGGACTCTAACTTGGCTGGTTTTGCTGGTTAGACCAGCATTTATGGTGCATCTCTATTTACGCTTGAGAAAGTGGTGATGAGCTGCCTTCTTGAACATCTGTGGTCCCTAACGTGTAGAGTCACCCACAGTGTTGTTGGGAAGGAGGTTGCAGGATTTTGAACAAGTGCAAGTGAAGGAATGGCAACATAGCTGTAGGTCAGGGTGGGCAAATGGCATGAAGGGAAAATAAAATCGGTTGGTGGCTTTCCCCTTGCATTTTCTGCTCTTACTCTTCTAACTGGTAGAAATTGCAGGTTTGGAAAGTTGAAGGAACCTGGATGAGTTAATTACATTCTTCCTGTTTATTTACTTTGACTGTTGTGCTTAAGAACACTTTGTATTTCTTACTCTGTGGGAGACTGAACTTGAGACTCAGGTGATTTTGGGTGGGACTACCAGTCTGTCAGTCAGACAGACAGCAAACAGAGGATAATTTTGCAACTCCACAAGATCATTTGCAAGTCTTAAATGCTTTAAATTGCCCTGCATCCATGCTTACAGTCAACAGAAACCCCACTAATTCTTGCCCCCGCTCTGACGGTCACCAGCCAACCCTCCCCCCACCTAAGCTTTGGTCCTGAATAAACTCCACAGAGGCTGGTATCCCATCACCAAGTCACTCTTTATTTACATGTGGAAATTCCTTGACTCTGATACAGCCTCAGAGTCAATTCACCCATAGTAATGGTGCCAAAACCAGATGGTACCCAACTATTATGTGTAGACTGTTGCAAAGTGAAGGCAGTTACAAAATCTGATTCATATCTTATTTCACATTTGGAAGATGGGACAAGCAACTTATATTTCTAAGTTGGACTTACTCAGAGGATACGGACAGGTACCTTTATCTGAAAGAGCGAAGGAAATTTCTGCTTTCATAACAGCGAATGGACTGTACCATTTTAAAGTCATGCCATTTGGTTTGAAAAATGCGCCAGCCACATTTCAGAAACCAACCAATAAGGTCATTCTGGGATTACCCAATTGCGTGGTATACATAGACAGTCTGGTGATTTTTTAGTCACACGTGGAAGGAACATCTATTGGAATTGTTCGATCAACTTCGGACCAAGGGCTCAAAGAAAAGCCTAGCTAAGAGAGAGTTCGCAACAGCGCAAGTCATATTCCCATAATGTTTCTGAGACGATTGTATCTACTGATTAAAGTTTTTGGAAAACTTTAGGATAAAAATACCCGATTGTTTAGATGGAGCTTATCATTGCAGCCATTCAATTTGAAAATTATACATGTGGCAGGATAAGAGAATGTAATTGCCAATGCATCGTCACAACTTTGATGAAGGAAGACGGAGGCGTTTGGTGGCGGGAAGAAACAGACAGAAATGGATGTTTGCAGGCTTAGAGTCAACGTAATGTAAATGTATTGTAATGCACTAATAGCACAAGACTAAAGGTTTTTAAAAATGAAGCCATCTTTGTATATTGATGGTTTATTATTTTTTTAAGCAAGGAAGTGTGACAATATGATGGTTCTGAGGTGTATTTTATCCTGTTTTTTTTTTAAAAACATGAGGACAGATTGAGACAGAGGTACTGAGCAGTCTGCTCCAAGCCAGTAAAATAAACAGCTTGCGAGACTGGGAATATTTTAAAATTGGAACAATAGAAGTAGACTGAATGGGTGCGATCAAATTTCCACAGGAACAGGGATTTTCTGGTTAGCTTTCAGTAGCAGCTGTAGTTGTGAAAGCTGCTACATCTCTCTCTGTCTTTTTGCTGGTGCTAAAAGCTTGGTTCTCTTCCTGCTATTAGAGTTGCACATGAAACATTCTATTATATTCACTTTGCCTTTGCTAAAGGCATGCTTATGGGATGTTATTGCATTGGAACAATTAGTGAGTAATTTATTATTTTGTTAAGTATTTAAATAGAGTTACAGTTAAGCCATTTTTGAAAGAATCCAGACAAAATAAAAATTTAACTATAGTGTATCAATAAAGTGTGTTTTGTTCCTAGCCTGGTAGTGTGACCAATCAAATTGCACCTGGGAAACAACACCTGGTACTTGCCTTTAACATAAGAAAATGTAAGGGTCTAAGCTATCTCCTTGACATGTTTTGAGTCAGTTTGGTCTGGTTCATAGCAAGTCCAGTTGGGCTTCAGCTAGTAGGTGCTTTTGCATGGTTCCTTCATTAATCCCACATACCAACTGGCCCCTCAGCATCTCATTACGAGTTAAAATCAAGTCACATGCCTCCACCAGTCATCGTAACCAAGTCAAAAATCCTGATTCAGATTCTTCTGGCTCTCAAATTGCAGGGATAAAACAACAGCATCTCAGACTTACAGGAAGTTTGGGGTTGTAATATTCCTTAACTAAATCCATCACCTCTTGAAAAGGCTTTACTATCTGGTGCCGCAGGGAAAGTTAAGCTCCGAATAATCAAAAAAAGCTGTATGTGCACAAGCTGTCAAGAAAAAAAGTAATGCATAACCGTAACCAAGTCATCCTTTATTTACAAGTGAAAAGTCCTTGATTCTAGTACAGCCTTATCAGAGTAAACTCCCAGTGTGACAGAATATCCGACACTCCTCTTTATATCTGTCAGCCAGGGCTCCTTGATTGGGGCTGTTAATTTGGTCCAATCAGGGAACTCCTACTCTATGGAGGTCCATCTGGCTGACCTCGCTACAATCACTACAGGTCCCATGGTCAAAACGTGTATCATTTTGTTTTATTCAAGCTAGGCACCCCTGGACTTGCGTTCCTTTTAACTGTGCAACCACAACAGAATGAGGAAAGTGGTGTGGAATTCTAAAATGTACCACTCAAATCACAGACAAAAACTAACCTCTCTCTTTCAGTTGCATCTTCTGGCTGGGTCAGGAAATTTAGGCCTCCCCCAGGCCCTGACATTCCAAGGGATAGATCAGGAGACCAGGATGTCGAAATGTTGCTGCTGCTTTCCATGGGCTGCTGGGCAAAGAAAAAAGGATTACAATAAAACTCTTCAGGCTCAGTTCTCCGAGGACTTGACAGTATAGGTGATGAGAAGTGGTTTCTCTAGGGCTGGACCATCTAGAACCACAGGTCAGTCATTTAAGATTGAGATGGGAGAAGTGTACTTACTCAGAGGGCTGGGAAACTTTGCAATTCCTTGATTTGATTTATTACTGTGACATGTACAGTGGAAAGTTTTGTTTTGCGTGCAGTACAGACAGAGCATACCATACAAAGATCACACGATAGAACAGAACGAGAAATACAATGCTAGACTGCAAAGAAAGTGCACAAAGATTGAGACCAACATTAAATATGAAATTTGAGAGGTTCATTCAGAAGTCTTAAAGCAGCAGGGAAGAAGCTGTTCTTGAACCTGTTTGTACATGTATTTAAGCTTTTGTATCTTCTGCCTGATGGAAGAGGTTGGAACCAGAGTGGGGAGGGGTCTTTGACGATGTTGGCTGCCTTTCCGAGGCAATGAGTTAATTATCTGCTCCAGGAAGCTGTGGTTGCTCAGTTTTGAAGCATATTCAAGAATGAGATCATCAAGATGCTTTGGGACAGGGAGGGAATCAAGGAATTGGATGGGGAGCCGGGGTGGGGGGAGGTGAGGAGACTTGGGAAATGGATCTGACATAGAAGACCAGCCATGATCTTGAATGGTGCAGCAGGCTTGAGGGACTTCTCTCTCAAGGTGCTCTGTATCCAGACATTGAAAACTGCATGGGTTTTCATTCAAAGGATATCTATTCCCTGACACATGGAGTCAGAAACTGCAAATGATGGATACTGGATGAATGATGGGGTCCATGTCATGGATCCCAACTCCAGGATTTACACTCCAATGCTTCTGAGCAAATCATCCCTGCTATTAGTCACAATTTTTGACTATGCAAGTATCTTCAATTAACAGCACATCTTCTCTGTGTAGATCAGAATCCCAATATTACATAAAGACCTTCATCTCTCGCCCTATTGCAGTAAATGGAAATACTCTAAGCACTTGCATTTCACTGCAGCACTTTTCACATCAGCCCCAAGTGTGCCCTACTTACTGAAGTGCATATACTGCTGTAATGTGCAGCAGCCATTCTGCATGGGGTACAGTCCCTAGAGCAGAATAGCAAGGCCCAGGGCTTTCCCAACATCGAGCCATGAGCTTCACCACAACTGAGCCACTGAAGGGGTAGGTACTGCTGGTGTTACAAAAATTGGAGGAAAGATGGACCATGGAGCTGGTGCTGGGACAGGGTGGAGTGTTGGAAGGGAAATGTTATCAGTATCAAAGTTGGAGGGGCAAGAAACAGAAATTGCTGGAAAAGCTCAGCAGGTCTGGCAGCATCTGTGAAGAAAAAAAAAAAAAATCAGAGTTAACGTTCAAGTTCTGAGGAAGGGTCACCGGACCCAAAACATTAACTCTGACTTTTTTCTTCACAGATGCTGCCAGACCTGCTCAGCTTTTCCAGCAACTTCTGGTTTTGTTCCTGATTTACAGCATCTGCAGTTCTTTCCGTTTTTATCCAGGTTGGCGGAGGGGGTGGGGCATGGTTGGAGAGAGGATGGGGTGAGGGTAATGCATCAGACATACAAACCAGTGAGCTTCCTGCCAATGAGAGTGAAGGGCTGACCTTGTTCAAAACTGGCACTGAAAACCTGTCCCTAGTTTAAAACACATTACTTTCCCCTTTAAATTTCACCTATTTTCTCAAAAATGGCAGGAGGATCTTTTCTGGCTCGCTGGTCATGCTCCTGCCCACTCTGCTGGGGGCTTAGAAGGTCGAATAGTGCCTGAAGAATAGTGCTTTGTTGTGCACTTGAATTTATTGCGGTAGCAATGTGAATTCATGCTTTATTGTGGTGACCTGTAATGACAGGGACTGAGTCATTCCATCTATTGACTCAGTTTATACTTCTCATTGCCTCGGAAAGACCGCCAACATAATCAAAGACCCCTCCCACCCTAGTTACAATCTCTTCAACCTCTTCTGTCAGGCAGAAGATACAAAAGCTTAAACACGTGTACCAACAGATGCAAGAACTGCTTCTTCCCCGCTGTTATTAGACTTCTGAACGGACCTCTCAAATTTTAAATTTAGTGTTGATCTCGTTCTCAGTGCACCTTCTCCGCAGCTGTAACATTGTATTCCTCGCTCTGTTCTATTACCCTAATGCACTTTGCATGGTATGATCAGCCTGTACTGCATGCAAAACAAAAACTTTCACTGTGCCTAGGTACGTGTGACTATAATAAATCAAATCAAATATCCAGATGATTACAGAGATTACTCTCTTCTGCACAGCCAATGAGAAAACAGTAAGTTAATATACATAGATAATTCAAGCAAGCACACACGCCTTGCCCACTCCAAAGTGAAAAACTGTAGAGTTTAACCATGTGCCTCTCTCTCTCTGTGCACAGTGTACCATGCTACCTCTCAGGATCAGCAACTTTTGTTGGAAACACTCCAGGAGGTTTTATTACATTACCTCTAGACCCAGCTGGTTGAACAACCTGTTCTCCACCAATATTTTCATAGCTAAGAAAGAACATCGTGGGTGTAGGCAGATACTGGCACTAGAGAACATTGGCAAGCAACACAGGAGCAACAAGCATGCAGGAAATGCAAAAGACAGGGGTTGTGTGCTATACGGCTGAATACTCCGATTCTCGGAATGTGATGGCATGCCACTTCCGAGTAAAGCCACGTGTGGAAACGTGAGACAGCAGAGCTGTGTCGGCAGGAGTCAGTAGATGGGAACGGAATTAAAGGAGCTGGTAATGAGGGACAGAGTATTGGAAAAGCTGGATGCTGACAACCACAGACTGAATCCCAGAAAGCTAGCGGACAGGTTCGGCAGGTAATCATAAGGACAAAGGGAATTTTGGAAGTTGCAAATGGAAATTTGGCATTTATTGCTCATGGAATGGAATTTAAAAATGTTGTTACAACTATTGGTGAGACTGCATCTAGAGTTCTGCATACAGTTTTGGTCCCTTACTTGAGAAAGGATGTAATTGCATTAGAGGCAGCTCAGAGAAGGTTCACTAGATTAATTCCAGGGATGAAAGGCTTGTTTTTTGCCCAGGGATTGAACAGTTTTAGGCCTATACTTGTTAGAGTTTAGAAGAATGAGGGGAGATTGGATTGAGATTTATAGGATGCAAAACGGGATTGACAAAATAGATGGGGAGCAGGTTTTTCCCCCATTGTGGGGCAAGCTAGAATGAAAGATCATAGTTTTAGAGACGGCAGATATAAAACAGAGAGAGAAGAGGAGGAATTGCTTCTCCCAAAGGGTCATGAATCTGTGGAATTCACTATCACAGAGTTGCTGCATCAGTTGTTGACAAAACGTATTGATCTCAGGTGGAAAATTACAAAAGCAAGAAAGCACATGGAGTTAGGTGACAGATGAGCCGTGATCTCACTGAATGGTGGAAGACAGTGAAGGGGCTGAATGGCCTACTCCTGTTCCTAGTGTGATGGCTGCCTGGGCACGGAATAAATTTTGATGACAAAATAAGCAAATTTTCAATTAGTAACAGGTTAAAGAGTTGCAGAGAGCAGCAGGAAAGTGGAGTTGATGCCAAGGCAAGATCAGCCATGATCTGTATTAAATGGTAGAGCAGGTTAGAGGGGCTGAATGGCCTACTCCTGCTCCTAGTTCTTACTGATCATGACAGCAATGGGGCCTTAGTGACCGGCACTACTGCCATTAGGGGAAGCAATGGACTCGTGGTATTATTGCTGGACCTATTAATCTGGAGAGACCCAGATAACATTCTGGGGATCTGGGTTCAAATACTGCCACGGCAGATGGTGGCATTTGAATTCAATGAAAATCTGGAGTTAAGAGTCTAACAATGACCATGAATCCATTGTCAATTGGTTCACTAGTGTCCTTCAGGGAAGGAAACGGCCATCCTTACATGTGACTTCAGACCCACAGCAATGTGGCTGACTCTTAACTGCCCTCTGGGCAATTAGGGGCAGGCAATAAATGCTGGCCCAGCCAGTGATGCCTTCATCCCGTGAATGAATTTAAAACTTGGTCAGAAGGCTGTGGGTTTGAGGCTTACTGCAGAGACTTGAATTTATAGTTTGGGCTGACAGTCCCATGCAGCATTAAGGGCTGAACACAATGTAGGAGGCACAGTCCTTCAGGTTAGATGTTAAACTGAACCAAACCCTTGCTTGTTCTTTTGGCTCGATATCAAAGTACAAATAGTGCTTGGGAGTTCTCCCCAGAGCTGTAACCAATATTCAACCCCCATCCAACATCATTAAGGGAAAAAAGGTAAAAGTGACTGGGAAATAAGGTCACGTCACATCTGTGGAAATGAAAAGAGTTGACGTTTCAGGTCAGTGACCTTACCTGGGAATGAGAATTTATGATTTTTTTTGAAAACTAGTGGTAAGGGAGGGGGCTGAAAGAAACGAAGGTGATAGTGTGGAGGACAGGGGAGATTTCATTGATGCCACAGCCAATAGCAGTGGTAATGGATTTAGTGAAAGAACAAGGGCTGTGCCCAAATGGGGTGTGAAATGTGACATTTAAAAACACCTGAATACACGGTGAGGGGATAATGGAAAAGCAAGGGGGACTGTTCTGCTTGGCTGTTGCATCATGAAATCACTCGTTGTTGATCCCCAAGTCTGTCTCCCTTTTGTAAATGTCATCTCTCTGAACCATTAACTCTTTCTCTCTCCCCAGAGGCAGCCTGATCTGCTGTATGACTCCCTTTTCCCCGCGATTTCTAGCATCTTGATTTTTTGATACCTTGGGAAAGATCTCACTGCCATTTGTGGGATCTTGCTGTGCGTAAACCAGCTGCCTGCGTTTCCCAGTGTTGTGGTGGTCACTAAACTCTGCTGGCCACGGAGGGCACCCTGAGACTGTAAAAGGTGCTATAGAAATTCAAGTCCTTTCTTCTTTCCAACTGACGGGCCAATCCTACTGTGCATTTCAGGTGTTACAGCAATAATGGCCTCACTGGGGTATCTGTCAAACGCTACATTAAAAACAGAAAATGCTGGAGGAACACAGCAGGTCTAGAGAGAAACAGAGTTAATGTTTTATGTCTGGCTTGATCTTCTTCAGAATTGAAAGGGGCTGGGAAGTGGTGGTAAGTTAGTGACTGACAAATGAAGGATTTGAGACATGAGAAAAATTTCCTTACAGAGCAAGCGATTAGGATCTGGGAGACACTGCCCGAGAGTGCGCTAGAGGCTGATTCAAGTGTGGCTTTCAAATTAAAACTGGATAACCACCTGAACATTTGTAGGGCTATGGGGATAGGCATAGGATATGGGCAAGTCAAGTTGCTCTTATAATGGGCCAAATGGCCTCCTTCTGTGCTGTAACTACAATGCGATGTCTCTGTGAACGTACCATTGGAGAATCCTGGTTGTCATTTAGCTCAGAGAGTTTACAACTTGCTTTCTGCCTCTTTGGCTTCATGCCTTCCTCGTTGTAACTGCCATTGCTCTCTTTTAGCATTTTATCACTGGCCTGGGAAGGTTCCAGAAGCCCCGATCTTCCCTCCTCGCTGTTACAGGGAATATTCTCTTTGTTGATGCTGTCCCTGCAGAATAAGGCAGGTTTGAACAAGTTAGGGAGATGCCTTTATGAACTCGGGGAGTGCAATCAGAAGGATTTTGGTACTGGCCTAACTGTTGTACAGAGGCTACTGCTTGTTTCGCTGTCAACATGTCAGCTTACATTTTACACAATAATTGGGGCACTTTGCCTTCATGACGACTACAGGTGAATTTCCTCAGACCTTCTCATGTTTGGTTTCTGTCACTTTGGAAGCAAGCTGGTGGATAGAAGTCTGTGGATTTCTGGGCAACATATGACAGGGAAAAGTCTGAGGAAACGCAACCCTTAATATTCAGTAATACACGCCATAATCTCCATTAGAACCTTCAAAAATACACCCCACAATCCCCAGTAATGCTCCCAAGAACATCCATTAATATACCCTCAGAATCCCCATTAATACAATCCAGAACCTCCAGTATTACACCCTGGAATTTCTATTAATAAATCTTAGAACATCTCACAGAGCTTTCCACTTTCGAGGCGAGTTATTGAGGAGATGCTGAGAGATGTATGGTTGGAAAGAGCAAGTTACAAAGAGAAATAGAAAGAAAATGCAAGCAGGCAAAATACACCCCAGAAGCTTCATTAACACAAAATACAGCTCAGGGGGAACTTCTACAAGATGGTAAAGGTTCTCCCCACCACAGTTCATCTCCTACCAATCAGTAATCTCCTCTCTTACAGTATAAATGTTATTTTGCCTTTACTTTGGTATTTCTTGTGAAATGCCCTGCTGAGTGCAAGATGAAAAGCTTTGAAAAAATGTGACATTTTTCATTGTGAGAGGCTGGGACTTTGGAAGGGCAAAAGGATTTGATTATTCTGGCACATAAATCAGTAAAAGCTGACACACAGGAAGAAAACATGAGAAAGGTGAATGAGCCATCAGTCTACCCAATGAGATGACTGGAGTAGAAAGCACAGGGAGTTAAGCTTCAATTGTGCAGGGTATTGCTCTAAATCCATCTTTGTTCAGTCTGGTCACCACATCTCGGGAATGACATATTGGACCTGGAAGGATGTAGTGGTTGGAACAAGGTTGGTCAGGTGATTCTCTTTGCTTATCGAGGTCCCCAGTTGGAGATGTTAACCTGGGCCAATCATGGAGGCCTCGCTGTCAGATATAAACTGAGAGTCTCAGAGAGTCTCCTCACTCTAGCGACTGGCTTTGAGCTAGCTAGTCAGAGTCTATTTACTGTGCATGTGTAAATTAAGGGTGACTTGGTTTTGAGATACCAGCCTCTGTGTAGTTAGTTCAAGAGGGTACACCACATATTCACTAATAAAGCCTTAAATGGTTAAATTATGAGTCTGGGTTACATGAAAGTACTTTGTATTCCCCTAATTTTGGAAGAATGATACAATTGAGGCATTTAAAATGATGAAGTGTTTCAATGGTGTGGATGCAGATATACTATTTTTTTTTTTAAAGTTGACAAAATCAAGAGCAAGATGGTGGTGATGTCTCTGGACTACTAATCGAAAGTAATGCTCTTGGGGGTCAAGTTCAAAGCCCACCACACCAGCTGGTGTTATTTCAATTCAATGAATACATTTGGAATATAAAGCAATTCTTAGTAGTGGAACTACCTCTGATTGTCAAAAAAAATGCATCAGGTTTGTTCATGTCCTTTACGGAAGGAAACCTGCCATCCTTACCCAGTCTGGCATAGGTTGAGGCTTGAGAAAGGTCAGATATGTTCTCTGTGGTCCACGTGTTGCAGCAACTTCCCAACTGGATGTCAATGCGTCAGCATGCTGATCGTCACGTTTGGACTGTCTATGTGGCTGCTCAGCTTAGAGGGAACATTAGTCACAACCAATTGATGAGCAGTGCAGTGAGAGGA